CTCTATAGCTTGTGTGGAATATCATTGAAATTTATTATTCTTTATTTGGAAGGTGAGGACCTATGCCCTGTTATGAAAGCCAGAAATCTGAACTATACAAAGCCAATTTTTTTCAAGTCTATCTGAGCTCAATTATGTTTGAAGTAATGGATGATTGATTGGAATGGTTAACTAGCTGCTCAAAATTTATGAATTGGATCAAGTGAAAGATCAACAAATAGCAAACCTTTCTCATTGAGCTTTGTCAACATTGTTGAGCTTACTAGTTTCTCAAATATTGCTTATTGTCACTTTTCTTACTGTCTTGCTCGTTATCCTTGGAAAGCATGTTGAAATGGTTGATCAACAAGAAAGACAAGAATGTGTGTACCTATATATAATTCACTGGGTTCCTTTCACTTGCAGGAGAACCAAAGGCTATACCTTGGACCCATGCAACTCCTCTCAAGGCAGCTGCAGACGCTTGGTGTCATATGGATATTCGTAAAGGTGATGTCGTTGCTTGGCCTACTAATCTTGGTTGGATGATGGGTCCTTGGCTAGTTTATGCATCTCTGCTAAATAATGCTTCCATTGCTTTGTACAACGGATCTCCTCTCAGTTCTGGATTTTCAAAGTTTGTACAGGTAAAAGTTTGGTGCTAATAATCTTGATATATAAGTCTGCATGTTCTGTATGCCTATGATGTTGGTTCTTCTTTTGCATCAGCTCTTCATTTCAATTGCTATGCTAGCTAAATTAAATACAAAATTGACATTAATAATTTGTGGATCCAAATTAAAACCAATTAGTTTCTATCACTACTGCAGCTATCATATTGCTTTGGATTCATTTATGTTTCATTTGGTCCATGTTTACTGATGATACAAATATGTAACTAGTGATGTACACGATTTCGGAAAATATTACGATTCTCTAAATTAAGATATACGAAATATACACAATTACTAATCGGTATATGTATTATGTACTCCCTCTATTCCATATTTATCTTCCTAATATCTATTTTAGGGTGTCCTAGAATAATATTCCCATTTCTTCCATCTATTCAATTTTTTTCCCCCAAGTTTCAGTAACATTCGCTCTCCGTTGCCTTTTTTCTCTATGCGCTATAATATTTTTTGTATTTTTACATTTAATAACTTATCTTAATCTCCCTGTCACTTGCAAATGGAAGGATAGAAATGGGCCAAAGGTAGCCACTGAAGGAGCTTCCATGACCCAAGGGTTGTTTTATTTTGTCAAATTTCCCTCCTCAAACTCTTACATTCACATTGAAGTGTGTTCTTCCTAGTTGCTAGTAGACTTAAGAATATAGTTTCTCACTTTCTCCACAGGATGCTAATGTAACAATGCTCGGAGTTGTTCCAAGTATCGTCCGGGCTTGGAGAAGTACAAATTGTACTGCTGGATATGATTGGTCAGCCATCCGGTAAGTTACCTACTGTATGATGTTAGTTTCTGTAAGTATGTTTCTAACATCAATTGAACTTTTCAATTGATTTCTGTGCACTTTCATATCCTTTTTTCCAAAGTGTCATACATTTACTTTTTCTTCCTGTGGATGTTTATATCATGTTTTACCAAAATAAGTGTAATTTATAGTCAGCTTAAGGTCTGAATTCTTTTATAGGGTTTTTTTTTGTTGGGGGGGGGGGGGTGGTGGGGGGTATTTGTGATGGTAACCAAGTTGATCATCTATTGACTTTTTTGTTCCTTCTAGCTGCTTTGGCTCTACTGGGGAGGCTTCAAGTGTAGATGAATATTTGTGGCTTATGGGAAGAGCATGTTATAAGCCTGTGATAGAGTATTGCGGTGGTACAGAGATTGGGGGTGGGTTTATAACTGGATCATTATTGCAGCCTCAAGTATTAGCTGCTTTTAGCACACCAGCTATGGGCTGCAGCCTCTTTTTACTTGACAAAAATGGAATTCCCATTGTAAGCTCAGTTAACTTTGCATCTCTACAGCACTTTTTTTTTCTTCATCTTTTATTCATTTCAAGACCTTGCAATATGTTGTATGTTGATATATATAAAATATAAATATACTTATGTTTCCAATAAAAAAAAAAAACAAAAAAAAAACACTTCGTCATAAATGAATGCTCATGATTTTCTACGTATGTCCAAGCAAATATTTAGAATTGCCAATTGCATTATACATTGTTTTTTGACATAGTATTGGTTGGTTTTGATCTGTTTACCATACTGATATCTCACATTCATTCTGGCTTCATTAATCCTGTGATATATTAGTTTTCACTAGCTGCTTTACCGAGTTCTTGATATAGCATGGGAAATTCATGCCTGAGTGGGACTTTATATGAAGAAGTTTTCATTTTCAATTTTTATCTGCAGCCACAAAACACGCCAGGCTTTGGAGAACTGGCTCTTGGTCCTTTAATGTTTGGAGCTTCACATACACTCCTTAACGGTGACCATTATAAAGTCTACTTCAAAGGAATGCCAACATGGAAAGGAAAGGTAGAATCATCTCTTTGATAACTTCAAATTTGGCTTGCACCCTTAACTAATTGGAAAAATACACTTTAATAATCTCAACTATGGGCGATTTACCTACAATAATCCCAACTAACGTTTATTCTACAATAATCTCAACTATTAAGTCAGTTTTCCTCCAGCAGTCCCAAAAACCGGTTACCTGCTGAAATGGTAAACTTTTTTTTTTTTGGTTTTTTAATTGCCACATGTCAGAACATGATTGGTTTAATTTTTAAAAAAAATTAAAAAAAAAAAAATCAGCTCAGCCTAGCCCGCCACCCCCTCCTCCCTTCAGCCACGAAAACCACCCTTTATTCCCAAATCTGACCACCGGGAGATCGACCATCCCGAATCCCAGCCCCGTAGCTAACATCCGACCACCGCCTGCGATCTTGCGGAGCAATTTTCGCCGGAGTGTCGCGGATTCAAGCTCCAATCAGTTAACGGGCAAGGGTTTCGGAGTGATTTGGGGCTGCTGGTGGTTTCCAGGCAAGGGTTTCGGGGGTGCGGCTGGTCGTGACGCGCAAGGGTTTCACGGGCAAGGGGGTGTTGGTGGTGCGATTTAGGTGTTTCGGGGGTGCGGTTGGTGGTGCGATTTAGGGGTTTCGGGGATGTTGGTGGTGCGATTTAGGGGTTTCGGGGTTGTTGGTGGTGCAATTTAGGGGTTTCGGGGGTGTTGGTGGTGCGATTCAGGGGTTTCGAGGGTGTTGGTGCTGGAGGTGGTGCGATTTAGGTGGTCGGCAGGAGGTGGAGGTGGTGCGATTTAGGTGTTCGGCAGGAGGTGGAGGTGGTGGTTAGGGCTGGAGGTGGTGTTTGGGAGGCAGGTGGTGGAGGTGGCTGCCAGATTTTTTTTTTTAGTTTTCTTTTTTTTTGTATTTTTTTTTGGAACCACTCACACGCTGACACGTGTCAAACAACCTACAATAATAGGTTGTTGACTTTTGTTGACCGGTTTGGGACCGCTGGAGGAAAACCGACCTAATAGTTGGGATTATTGTAGAATAAACGGTAGTTGGGATTATTGTAGGTAAATCGCCCATAGTTAGGATTATTAAAGTGTATTTTTCCTAACTAATTTCTATTCCCTTAACTGTTTGAAACACAATCTATTCTTTAGCTCTATGGTTAAATGAAAATCAAAATGGTCTCCACCAAATCAAAATCCAAGAGATAAAAGGAAGATATTCTTCATATTTCCTTAATTAAGATTTGGACTCTTATCTTCCATTGCATATTTTGACATTGTATTTTTTTATTTTTTTTTTCACTCAGCTTTTGCGGAGACATGGAGATGTATTTGAGCGTACTTCTACTGGGTATTATCGAGCTCATGGCCGTGCTGATGATACTATGAACCTAGGTGGTATCAAGGTTCGGATACTTTTACCCTTGAGATTTCTGGAATTCCCTTTATTTCGCAAAATTTTCTTATTGGTAAATAAATTGGAATGTGCATGCTTAGTTGGAAGATATTGTTGGGAGGTTTAAGAAAATACTGTCTTAGGTGGCATATTCATTATGCTGGGACTGGGAGTTGGAACAACATTCTTGATTTTTGCTTTTACATAAATCTGTGGATTGAACATTGATGGATGTTGCAAAAGAAGATGGAGGTAGCTCCTGCTATTTACATGACAGCTTTGGTCAGCAGCATCAAAATTAATGAATTATCATGACCTTGACCTGAAGGGAGTTAAATTCATAACATTAAATTTTGCCCCAGCATGCTTATGATTATACGCTGCGATGAACACGTGGAAATGAATTATCTAACTTCTAAATTCTTACCATGAGAAATTCCTTAGCTCATCTAATGTTTACATCAGGTAAGTTCCATCGAGATCGAGCGTATCTGCAATGGGGGCGATAGCAGCATCCTTGAGACAGCTGCTGTCGGTGTCCCACCTTTGGAAGGAGGACCTGAGCAGCTGGTAATTGCTGTTGTTTTTAAAGATGCTAGTAAATCCACACCCGACTTGAACCAGCTGAAGATATCTTTCAATTCCGCACTCCAAAAACAGCTAAATCCTTTGTTTAGGGTGAACCTTCTTCCTGGCCTCTTGGCTTTTTCCCTCTTATGGCTACATAATATCGTTTTTCCATGACAATTTTTCGAAATTTGCAGGTCTCTCAGGTTGTTTCTCTACCCTCTCTTCCTAGGACAGCAACCAACAAGGTAATGAGAAGGGTGCTACGGCAGCAATTCACACAGCCTGCTACAGCTTCCAAGTTGTGATTTGTGAATTACAATATGGACATTTATAGTTTATACACAAAAATTATATAGATTTGTACTGTAAAACACGAACAAGCCAGCGTAAAGATTTATTTGCCACTCAATGCAGGAATAATCCGTTCACTTTTATCAGAGTTGTACATGAACCGCAATTTCTTAAGAGTAAAGTTTGGGATCTTCAAATTAATTGTTCCAACTCTTATTGATCAAGAGTGATTAAAAAAAAAGGAAAATTAACAAGCCTGAACTTTAAAGTGCTGTTTTACAAAAAGGAAAACTCAAATTAATTACTCAGATCAGTATGTGTCCAATATCTTAGTTTAAGAACAATATCAGCTTAAAATATCGATATACAAGAATTGGCAAACCTATAACCTAGTACAACAGAACAAAAGATACATCAAATTTTGTGTGCTTTAATGAGAGGGGAAAACCAAAATACAAGTATGCAGATGATCAAAGATCTGTGCTGTAATTCTCAGGCTTAAACCACCAAGAGAAGTCAATGCCTTTCTCCTTTAGAGTCTCTGTTGCTGGGCCGATCCTCTCCAAAAGCTGCACTTGCACAAAAATCCAACTAATCAATACGTGCACCCCAACTACGGGTATACAGTATATACTGCCTCAGAAAAATAAAAAATCTATTAAATACTTTAGGCACACTTCTGTTATGCTAATAATAACCAACCTTTGAATGTAGCAAGCCATTGGAAACAATAACAGATCTATCATAAACGCAAAATTTCCCCCCATCCATGCGTGTAACAGCACCACCAGCTTCCTCAACAATCTGCATAGAAAGATAACTGTAAGATGAAATAGAATTCTCCATTCAAGAAAATCACAACTTCGTTTATAAGCATACTTGCTTTCTTCATACGAATAGACATGCCATGAAAAATATAATCAAGTTAGAAACAAGGCATAAATAAGATTTCTAAGCTATCTAATTTGAGGCAATTCAAAGTACATGTAAGTGGAGGACACGATAACACAAGAATAACATTCTATAGCATTACAAAAACAGCTTGACACCACATTCACCAAGATTTGACTTAAATATAGACATAATTGCACAAATGCATGCACACACATGCAAGGGTTTGAGCAGACAGATCAATCTCCAAATTGTATACTATATAATTTTGGCATTTTCCTTGTTATAACAGATGTGAGAAAGAACAAGTTAATGAATGCAATACAAATAAATAACACACACAAATTTAAGTGGTTCACCAACAGTGTGCTGGCTACGTCCACGGGCAGGCTAGAGAAATAGTTTTATTGATCTTGGGGAATACATGTTACAGATTTGAGACCAATCACAGAAAACAAATTGATTGTCTCTCAGATTTCTAATGTTATCTCTCTTAGATCTCATAGATGAGAAATACACAAAAGACTCTCAGAGATTAATTAATCAACTTATTTGGCTAGGAGTAGCCCTAAGGGGTATATATAGAATTCTCCAAAACAGAAACTGATTTGGGCCAAAGCCCAATTAATAACCACATGACCGTGTATCTTGACCAACACGACCGTGTGACATGTCACGACCATGTACCATGAACCACATGGCCGTGTATATTGAAGAGTACATAATAACACTGACTACATGATCATGTACAATAAACTACATGATCGTGTACCTACTCGGTCACCGTTTCAAGGCATATTTCACAATATTCCTTTTAAACTGTTTTTCTTTTACCAAAGTTTTTTTATTACTTACCAGTTACCTTGACAATCATCCACCCTATCAACCGATCTCGTCTCCTTATCCACACTTAAACTAGGGATATTGTTAGAATTTCAAGTATTAATGCAAACTTCATAATAAAAAGACTACAACTATAATGAAGTTTTTTGGAGCTTCAGGAACCTGATCTTACAGAGGAAAAAGGGAAAATCATCATATGAGAAGGCAAATAAAACAAGCCGGAATAACCCAGCTTCACATCCATTTGGTACAAGAAGATAACAATTACTAACTGGGAAACTACATCTCCCCAATACATCACGTATGAAATGATTATTGAAAAACTTGCTTAAGAGGGGTCGGGGTGGGGTGGGGTTAGAGATCCATGTAGCACACTATGTACATTATTATTCTACTAAAAAAGAACTCAGCAAAAAGTTCTACTAGTTACAGGAAATGTACATGGAAAAACCTTGGAATAAACACTTGACAAGCTCGTTATCGGCAATTTAAGAGTGACTAAACATCCTAAAGTTTTGAGATACCTATTTGGACCGGAAGAATTTCAAAATGAGCGCCATATAACGCTCTATAAAGCTTGTATTTTACATAATAGTAAACACGTCAGGCCCACATTTATGCTGTCATCTAACATAAGTGAGAAAGCAATTAGATCTGTAATGCTAAGGTAAATTTAATGGCCAGAAGAATGGAATATTAAAAACCAGTTTGAACATCATACAGAACTAAATTTGAAAATATGAGTCAATATATTTACTAGTAACTACGAAGTGGGATAAGATAGTCATAGTATCGGCAAAGCACAACAGTACCTGAACTAGGATTAATTACAAGATCTTATTTAAGCTGCTTTCACCATTCTCTGAACAAGATCACGGAAATCAATCTTGTTTTGAAAAGATGTCAATTTGAAAACATATGGATATAGTTTTGCTAATTTATTCCTACTTGGTAAGCTTACAGTGCATCTGCAATCTAAATCTTTTCCATTTTTTGAAACTTTTGGATAACTGAGTTCCTTGTCTATCATGGCACCATCAGACAGTTTAAGTCTTAAGCATCATCAATGATTGAAAAAGAAAGGATCTACAAAAATTCAGGCATCATAGTTCATACCAAGCTAAGGTTTAATATCTTTTTAATCATAATAAAAATAAAAATAAAAAAGGATCATAGTCCCACCAATACATTATTGCTATCTTAGATGCAAGCTTCTGAGCAAATGAAAGAGGATAAAGAAGTAGAGCTATATTACCAAAACACCAGCAGCCATATCCCATGGCTTTAAACGGTACTCCCAATATGCATCAGCAATTCCTATAGCTACATGGCACATGTCCACTGCTGCAGCACCAAGCCTCCTCACACCCTACCCGTTAAAGAGGAAACCTTAGTCATAGTTCATATCAAAGAGGATAGTGATAGTCCATCATCACAATAACAAACAAGTCATCATACCCGACTAACATCTGTAAATTCCTTGAATAAATTAATGTTTGTAGTCCATGCATCATCATGTTCATAGCCAAATCCAGTCACAAGAAGAGATCGCTCCACCTACACAAATGCAAACATTGCAAGCTCATTTCAGAGTTTTAAAGGAGATTTATAAGACTTGAAGATGACGAGAGAATCTCAATTATAGTTTCAATTAATAGACATAAAGAGATGAACGCATCTAGACATGATACAGAGTTGTGAACTATTCTGCATACAGCTTCAATACTTAAGCCTAGGACTACAGCAGGAAAAAGGACATTAACACTTCAGCCTTTTGCATCTAATCCCTAAACAAGTTAATTCAGCTAAATGATTTAAGTATGCACTGTAATCACTTTCCAAATTATACACTCCAGTTGACGAGTATATCTATACTAACAGAAATCCAACTATGAATCACCACCTACCAGATCGGTTGCACTAACTTGAATTTGTTGCCCATTGCAAAATGCTCCCCCACCTAACAGATAAATTATATATGTGGTAATTATGCAAAAAGAAGGGAGCTGTAGGAAATCCATTCAGTAAGACTTCTGACCAGCAGTAGCTGTAAATGTGCGAGTATTCCAACAAAAAGCTCCACCAACAAATTCAACCTGCAAAATAGAAACCAATATTTATTAAATGCCAAAGAAAACATTAGACTATTCTTTCTAAGCAGGTCAATTTCTACCATGTAGGTTGATCAATGACACTTTCTTTATTATTTTGAAATTCAAGATAAAAAGCTGAAAAAAGAGAAGGAGCCAGAGTTAAGCACCTTATATCCAATAGAAATTTTATGTATATTGCTTATCTTATTCTTATTTTTACCAAAAAGAGTACCTAATCATCAGGCAATCCCCATCTTCAATAACAAAATCTGATATGTAACACTTGCAATCTTTGGTTTTGATTAAAATCCCCCTTCCTACCAAAAACACTTCCATAACTATATGCATAAGCCAATCAAAATCTAATTAGTTAAAAGCAATATCCAAAAAGGATTTACTTACCACAGCAGCAGCTGCTGGTTTTCCTCGGAACAAAACACCCACAGAAACTGCAAAGCTAGGATAACCATGAGCAAAATTTGTAGTTCCATCTGCAGATGAGATCGAATTTACATTAGTAACAAAATAATAGGGGGAGCTGTGGACGCTGCTTAAATTCAGAAACGCCAACTATAAAGTAGACTAAAAACTGCATGTTTCATCAAGACTCAGAGGCAGACACATGGAAGAATAACCCTTAACAAGATCAAACAAGTGAATAGAAAACAAGGCAGATACACATGTAAGAGGCAAGCCTAGCATGACTCATGAGTTGCATTGGACCAAATAATTATCCAAGGTACCATTGACGCTAAAGGTGTTTGAAAATTTCCCATGTGTCTGTGGAGAACAATTGTCCCACATCAGAAGAGTGATAGGAAGATGACTAGTTAAAAAGGGTTGTGAGCTACCCCTCCTATTGCCATAAGGGTGGAACCTTACATAGTCGACCCTTACCCACTGCAGGGTGTGCAACTTCACAGTGTGATTGATAATTTGATACAAGATTCTACATGCAAAGCAAACAGCTTCCTTGGGCTCCTCCAAAATCTAAAACATGGGTGAGTGGGATACTAAAATCGAATTAGTAAAATCAAAATCGTAGAATCGTACGATTCTACAAAATTATAAAATTAGGCTTCAAAATGTAACTAATGACTACATACATAATTTTCAAGCAACGAGAATGATAATAATATATATTGTTCATGACATAATATCGACAATACAAAAATAATATAGTTTTAGAAGTAATATTGCACGCGCATTACTCAAACAGTACACTATAAAGGATGATTGTTGGTACACATTCTTAACCATGAGAGTACGAGACAATTGTTGTTAAAATTATGAAAAAAGTAACGTTGTTGACTCGTAAAATTGTTTCTCCTAATAAAAAATCCAATGAAAATAAAGTGTCAAGTTAGTTTATTTTAGCGTGATAACTAAAGAATAACAACTACAACAAACTCATGTTAAAAAAGTATTTTTTATGTCCACAGTTGAGTAATAAGACTCGTGAATACATTCTCATGCCCACAAAATTTAATGGTTGGATAGAATTTTAAAAGTTACTCTCTCTGTCCCATAATTTGGTGCCTATTTCTCAAAAAAACACGGTAATTAAGGAGAATGGTGGAAGTAGGGCGTATGCTATTGGAAAGATAAAAAGTAGTAAATATTGTATGGGAATAATAAAAAGTAGAGACTCTTGTATGAAAAAGAGAAAAAGCATTTAGGTATATGTGTATTTTGTATGGGAAAGATAAAAAGTATGATTATATGTTATTTTTAGAAACAGACACAACATTTTGGGACACCCAAAAAGGAATACAGGCACGAAATTATGGGACGGAGAGAGTATTTAAATTGATGTTTCATAAGCTTTATTTTGATTTATAATGAATAATATATAAGTTATTGACTAAAGTTAGGCTCAACTATGACACCCTTACACTTTTTAGGCTATAACGCAAAATGTATAAATGATATGAGTACGGGACCAATTCTATTAGAAAGTAAACCTCAAGAGCTTTCCAACAATATATTATAAGCCTAATTTTGACTTCGCAATCAAAAGTTATGGGTTTCGGGAAATTAGACTTTTTACCGGAGTGGAATCGTTAGAATCGGTATAGAATCGGTGACCGATTCTACGAGCGATTCTACGGCATAGCGATTCTACCTACGATTTACATCGTTTAGGTGAATTCCAAATCGCGATTTTAATAACATTGGTTAAAAGAGTGTAATGCTACATTCTTGTACGGGTTGTACCATTCCAAGTACATTAACAGAAAAGCTGAAGCAAAAAAGAAACTGAAAGGAAAAACAAAGAGAAACTAAATAAGGCTTAATGAAAACATCTGACTCCGTATTTTAACAAAAACCTCAAATCCTAATAGCCATCAAATAATCCCAACTCTAACATTTGTCCATCAAAAGCAACTTATTTGAACCTCAACCAATATGTTGCATCTTCAGCCAACAAAATCAAGGGAAATTGCCTCAACAGGCCATCTACAATTTTTAATGCAAACTTGACACCTTTTAACAGATTACATAAACTTTGAATAATCCTACTTCTACTAGAAACATGTGAGTTTTTTTTTATTATTATTATTAGTTTTTTGTCCTTTTCCCTCCTTCTGTACATGGGTACACCCTATTGGTGTGTGTTTTATGATATTTGAATATTACTTGTACAATAACTAGAATAATAAAAGGTACAATAGAGACTAAATGCCTGTAATACCGTTAAAGAACTTATGAGACAAAGATGAAATAACCTTCTAACATTAAAAATATTTTTAAAAAAATAAAAATAAAAAAAAAACAACCATTGAACAAAAGCAAAAAATTAAAGTTGAAGTGTATGGCAGGTTTTCATGTAGAGGAGGAGAGAATGGAAAATTAAAGGAGGGAAGGAATAGTATGATGGAAATTCTTTTGGCATCTAGAATAGCAAGCATAAACAGACTACTTTGACAAGTAGCAGTAATCTGAAGTTCTGAACACCCTGGTTAAAATAAAATAACACAAGTTTCTATGGATCTGACAGGGAACTATAAGACCAAGCGTGCAAAGGACAGCAGAGAATATGACACAGGACATGAACATAAATTGCAATAGCAAAAAAGGGAGAAAGAACCTAGAGGATCAATGCACCAAAGGTAATCGGAAGAAGTATCTCCAATAATTCCTCCCTCTTCACCAAGAATTAGGTGATCATTGAAGTTTTCCTTCACAACTTCCAAAATAGCAGCCTCACTCATTTTGTCTGTTCTGTACAGAAAACCATATGATGATAAATTTCTAGTCCTTTAAATTACAAAAATAAAGTAAAATAATGGAGTGCCAAGAAGATCCGGAATTTAAATGAGCACGTATTCAAGACTACATATACACGAAGAATGATTAAACTCCAGAAAACATCTCTTTAGGGTACGTTCTTCCAAATTAAAACTTGACAAAATTAAGCTGAACAAAATTGAATATTTGTTAAAGAAACTAGTGTACATGAAGGTCTAGAAAAAGGAGAGGTATGATTAGTCAATATATAGACAGACGCCATTTAAATATCTAATCAAGCAAATCATGCACAAAGACTTTCCCGGACAGGACAAGATACTATTGAATGGGGCAATGTAAAAAGTGGAGTGAGAAGGGGATCGAATACTCCCAAACGAACAGGGAAAATTAATTCAAAATATAAAATAATCTACTTGTATTTTACAAGTGAAAGCCAATCTTCTCTTGGTTCCAAGAAATTTCTACGTCATTTAATGACTATATTTCCTTTTAGTCTATACCCGGTCTACATAGCATTCAAGCAAGCTCCTCCTGAATACCAGCAGCACATAGCATGCATACAGTGGCGACAAGTTTCTGGTATCAAACCCTAAATCTGTAAGGTCTCCATTAGTTGACAGATTTTTACAAAGTTACTTAGTTACACATGAAAAGAATGGATGATGAATACAATGAGTAGCAAATACAGATCATCAAAGAAGATAATAATAATTAGGGATCCATTACTCAGTCACCAGGTCAGTAAGTCCTTTATAGGAAATTTTCCGTGGCTTGTTAACGGCTTCCATGACTACCTGAAAGATAAAAAAGAACATATACCTTAATAAGTTGAGAACTAAAGGCTACCTGCTACCAAGGTCATTAGCAGCTTGAGAGCTATATACACAAAAAAAGCTATCAATTAAGGAAGGCTTGATAATTCATTAATGCAGAAAAGTGTAAGTGCAACCAAGTGAAGAAACAAAATATTGGATATTTTGTTTAGTTTACACAAAACTTGAATTTGTTTTCCTTGTGATAGATAAAGAGCACCATTACCAATACCAATACTCAAGGCGCGGTACAATTCCATAACACACACAAGTTCTAGCTCTCATCATTTACAGAAGTCTCTCAAGCAACCACAAACTTCAATATAGTGCTGATTGATTAGAAGACAAGGCACTTGTACAATGGGGATTATTAGAATAAAGGTGTTGTTTTGATGAGTCCCTCACTCAAAGACATAAACCTCATCTACTCATTCTAATGCACCCTGCTTAAATTCAGTTCCTAATCAAATGCAACCTACTAGGTACTTGTATAAATCAGTAGAGGACAGTATTTCATCCAAAAACGGACTCGAATAATATGTGTCCTATAATTTAGTGACGGAGGGACTAACTAACAAGCACAGAAACTGCACATTGGAAAATTTCAACCTGGATATTCTATGAGAGCAAATGAGCAAAACACAAAATGTTCAAAGCTAATATCTCACAATTTGCAACAAACAGAACTCATCAAGCAACATAAATAAACAGAAAATCAAAAGAAATTAAGAATTCTAGGTTTAGAGTAAGAACCTCAGCGCCAGTTTTGGCAGCTTTTTCAACAACCCCAAGAAGTTGATTAGCAGGAATTGGACCAATTGATTGAGCACCCACTTTAGGATATTGGGTCCCAGACAAAACAGCACTGGTATTAAGTGATACTCTTGATGAACATGAAGAAAATGATGGTATTGGCTTCAATGAAATTTCCTTGCCAAAAATCCCATGTTTTACAGATTTTGAATTTCCCAGAAAACAACCAGACAATGCAGAAGATTGATGGGTTTTGTGATTAAAAGTTCGAATTGAAGAGGGTAGTTGACAAAATTTTAAGGGGGTTGCAGAAGATGAGATTAAGCACTTCCCCATCTTTTGGATGATGAACAACGCAAGAATGCCTGGGTTTTGTATATCAATGTAACATCTCTTTGTTGGCCATTCATTTAGAAAGCAGTAATATTATGATCAATACTGAAGTTAAACTTAAAATCGAAACCTAAATTTACCAATTTTCACCGATTATTAGATACGAGTAGTCAAAGTTTTCTTTTTCAGTGTTTGGTTACTACATTCGCTATTTGTGTTGGTATAATTTTTTACCTTGGTTCACATTTAAATCAGGGGCGGATCTAGAGTGGGTTCAACCATTCTTTAAAAATTAGAAAAAATGGAAATTAATAATCCCATCTTTGCCTGTTCGGCTCAAAACAATCCCACCTTTTTGAATTCCTAGAATAATCCCACCTTTGACCCTTATCTGCTCAAAATGAACCTTTTAACCTACAACTTGTTTAACAGATTATTTTTTTTTTATATTTTAAATTTTTTTTTTACAATCTCTCCCCAGCCACCATCTCCCCTTTAACAAGCCACCACCTCCCCTTTTACCACCACCGCACAGCCAACACGCACCTCCCCTTTAACCCCACCACCTTCTTCTCTCTCCTAACCTCAACCACCAGCACTACTAACCACCACCACCTCAACCCCAACACCACTAACCCCACCACCTCAACCCCAACACCCTAACCACGACCACCATTTACCACTAACCACGACTGTCCACGACAACCACTAACCACGAACCATGACCACCACTAACCACTAGCCGCCGATAGCCCAGATCTCCCCTCTGTCAACAATCCCACCACTAACCCTTTGACTGTCCACTAACCACTAACCACTAACCACCTTTGCCTGTTCTGCTCAAAATAATCCCACCTTTTTAAATTCCTAGAATAATCCCACCTTTGACCCTCATCTGCTCAAAATGAACCTTTTAACCTACAACTTGTTTAACAAGTTTTTTTTATTTTTTATTTTTAAATTTTTTTTTTTACAATCTCTCCCCATCCACCATCTCCCCTTTAACAAGCCACCACCTCCCCTTTTACCACCACCGCACAGCCAACACGCACCTCCCCTTTAACCCCACCACCTTCTTCTCTCTCATAACCTCAACCACCAGCACTACTAACCACCACCACCTCAACCCCAGCACCACTAACCCCACCACCTCAACCCCAACACCCTAACCACGACCACCATTTACCACTAACCACGACTGTCCACGACAACCACTAACCACGAACCATGACCACCACTAACCACTAGCCGCCGATAGCCCAGATCTCCCCTCTATCAAAGCCCTGAAATCCGATCTTACCAACGAAATATTGCCGCCCTTAAACCCCCTAACACCAACCACCCCAGCCGCCCCGGAATACCGTTCCCTGAAACCCGATCTCCATTCAACCCGAAAACCCGATCTCACCCACGAAACTCGATCTCCATTCAACCGCCCTGAAACCCGATCTCACCCAGGAACCCCGATCTCACCCATCTTTAATCGAAAATGGATTCGAATTTTAATTTGCTGCTGCTAATGATAATGGTGGTTGCTTTCGTTTTCTCGAGCTTTGAGTGTGAGCTTCCATGGCGGATTTGAAGAGAGAAAGTGAGGAGAGAATTGTTAGTGGCGGATTTGCGGTGGGTAGGGAGGCCGGGATTAAGGTTGCAATGGTGGGGAAACCGGGAAAGGGAGGTGGGGAAAGGGGAGGGGTGGTGAGGTGGTGTCTGATGCGGTGGTGGGGAGTTGGGGAGGGAAGATTATTTTTGTTTTTTTTAATTAAAAAACTAAAATTGTACCAATCAGAAGGTGACACGTGGCAAGTCACCTACTAAAATAAGTTACCCATTTCACAAACCGGTAAAAGGCTCATTTTGAGAAGCTGGGGGTTAAAGGTGGGATTGTTTTGGGAATTCGAAAAGGTGGGATTGTTTTGAGCAGAAGTGACAAAGGTGGGATTATTAGTTTCCATTTTTCCTAAAAATTATAGTTAAATTTAATATTAGTTTGAGTATCCAACTTGATAATTCGTTATCTGAATAATTTGATTCATGGTCTTATAGATGACATTTTTTTGAGTTACTAGTTATCGATCATCAATTCCAATAACAATAATCGTTCATCTCCTTAACCCCCATTTCATCTTGCTTTCCACAAAGAAAGCCTAGAAAGGTTATAATTTGAAACGGATGTAGCTTTGAAATGTGACATAGCTTACCATTGTGAAATAAATTGGTACAACTGTTTACCAAGTGACACAATGATCCTCTCAAGAAAGAGAAAAATAAGAGGGTTTTTTTGAATTTTATTTCTAAAATAAAAATCGATTTGCACTTTTAAGTGGTAGAAACGAATGGTGTTGTACCACATGACTTGTACAACAGTTGTAAGTGATTTTTTTTTCGTGGTTGCTCTCAGATTGAAAATTGAAGATTGAACCATTCACTTGGTGACTAATCTAGTAACCCGCCCCAAAACACGGTACTTTGTAAGTCCAAGAGATTATGTGAAAATACAAGTTTATATACTCCACAATTTATAATGGATGTAGCTTTGAAATGTGACGTAGCTCACAAAGAGGAAAATAAGGTCTTTCGGAATTTATATTTGAAAATTAAAATTGTTTTGCACTTTGAAGTGGTAGAAACTAGAAAGGGAGAGTGTTGTACCACATAACTTGTACTATAGTTGTAGACAATTTTTTTTCCCATGATTGGTCTTAGGGTCTGTTCTGTTCAACTTATTTTCAGTTCAGTTCAATTCTTAATTTCCTTCTCATAAAATATTCAGTTCAGTTCAACTCCAATAAGTTCAGTTCAACCAATCAGAACAGACCCTTAAATTAAAGATTGAACCAGTCACTTAATGACAAGTCCACTAATCCGTCCCATAACCGCTACAGTGTACTTCGTATTTCGTAGACCAAGAGATTACAAGAAAATGATTAACCCTTAGCGCATAGCTTCTATGAGTTTAGTAAATATATCGGACGGAAAATATATCATTACATGTATAATTGGTGATAGGTGGTAAATATTTTAGGGAAATATATTCCACGTATATGATGATAAAAAGTACCACTACATGCATAATAGTACACAAAAAAGTACTATTCATAAAATTTATATTTTAATAGTACATTATATATGCATAATGATACATTATAATGTACCACTATAGAGTCAACTTTTTTCAAAAACTTGTCAAATTTACAATTTTGCCTGAGCTGTGCGCCTAATTGCACTCCAAGAAAATACTAGTCGTAGTACAAAGCTTATGTGCAATCGTTCCACGTAACATGTAACGGAAGCTAGTATATACTCAAAGATTACACAATCCATTTTCTTTCTTTCTCTCTTCTCCAACACAAGTACACAACCACCCAAAACGCTTTCTCTCCCATCAGCTATCAGCTCTAAGCAGCCTCTTCCATGGTGTTTTTCTGACCCACCTTCATCTTCTCGGCAACTTCCATTTTTCAATTCAAACATGGTTGCTGCTTTGCTTGCTAACCCTAATTTGTCTACCCCTTTCCTCGGCCACAAACTGTAATTCTCTTATCCTTTACGAATTGAATTTCAATTCTTTGCCTTGATATTATTACCGACGTTTTTTGTGTGATTTTTGTGCAGTTCTTTGCGCCAGAATACAACGAATTTAGCGACGCATGGAGTAAATTTAAGGTTGCCTAGATGTGCTGTTGATACGCCTTATGGAGGTACTAATTCTACATTGGAGTTTGATTTTTATTAAATTTTGGTGAATTTTGTTGATTTTCTTTATTTTGTTGTGATTAATCATTTGAAGCGTAATTGAGTGTGAAAGGAATTGTTGGTTACTTGTAGAATTGATAATGCTTCAAGGGAAAGACAATTATTCCGTATAAAAGGGTTGGAGATTGAATTCGATAAATGTTTTTAAGTGAGAATACATTGTTTACTGATTTGCTTTTGTGAAATCTTGAATTTCTTGTTTTGTAAAGTTGGTTTGATAGTTGATACCCAAGTTTTGGGTTTTAAAATTAGTGATTTTAACCTAGTATCATGAGATGGGAGTTCATGGCTGTTTATAGAACAAGCTGAAAGATGAAATATAAGAGCTTGAATTTAGAAGAATTGAGTATACGGTAGCCATTTTATCTTAGGAAGAGTGAATACATAATTTTATCCAAATGATGCCATAACATAGACATATATGTTACTCTAGTTTTGTTGAGTTGATTGTTGTGTCGTATTGAATCAAGCGTGTGTGGACAGGGCGTGTTTCGTTGTCTACTTTGTATCACAGCTTTTGTTGCTTTGACTGTTAAAGTAATTTCGTTTATTTATTATAGGAAATGCCCCAAAGTTTCCAAGGCTGAATGTCTGGGATCCTTACAAGCGCCTTGGGATAAGTCCATATGCTGCTGAGGATGAAATCTGGAGCTCTCGCAATTTTCTTACGCAGCAATATTTTGGAGATGAGAGAAGTGTGGAGTCTATTGAAGCTGCCTTTGAGAAGCTTCTTATGAGAAGCTTTTGGGAGAGAAAGAAAACAAAGATCAACTTGAAGACAAGGTTGAAGAAGAAAGTCGAGGAGTCTCCTCCTTGGGTGAAGAGTTTGCTCAATTTTGTTGAGCTTCCCGCAACTGTCATTATTCTTAGAAGATTGTTTTTGTTTGCATTCATGGCTGGCTGGAGTATAATGAATTCTGCTGAAGGTGGACCAGCTTTTCAGGTATGTCATGCATCTGTTTTTATTATTTTTGTGACTTCCTTTTCTTTATTGTACCCTGGGACCTTGTTTGAACTGGAATTTCATTGGTCTGGAAGAGTCAGATTGTTTTACGGGACACTGATTTTATAGATGTAGGAAATTTGTTGGTTCCGGTTGGGATAACAATAATAAGATTCTTTGGTGTAATGTCTATCACTCTATCCGGCAATCAAAATCTGTTCTAGTTGTAGGAATTAACCGGCTTATGAAATTGATCTAATCTCATCAATCTAATTTGATGATATTATTTTATTTTGGGCTTTGGTTCAAGACTTCAAGCTATGTGAATGAGGCCTTTGTGAAAGCTCTGATGTTGGTTTAAGTATGTGATTTTCATGCTATTTGGTATAGATAAACATCTTATAAGGAGTAGTGGCCTTTTTCTTCCCTTTTTTTTCCGATTTTGTTGGGGAGAATGGGTTGTACATTGAATATTCAACGACTTGTGAATTAGAAGATTGAAGAATATATAATGGCCTGGAGATTAGGATTCCTTTAGACTTTAGATGTACTTTGTACTACTCAAAAGAGAAATAGGTGCTAACCTACATTTTTTTTTTTTTATGATGAGAGGTGCAAACATACTGAAATGTATAGCCTCTTCGCAATAAGTTTCATGAATATCTAATAGCGGACAACATTTCATCAAGTGATGTATTTCATCCATTGATTTTGCACGAGTAGAAAAAAGGAATCTAAAAACCAGAAGATGCTGAGCCATAGTTTTGATGTTTTGACTAAGATTAAACAAGGACCTGGACAAATTAATGGACTTGAACTTGGAACAACAATTAGATTAAAAACCATCAATGTAAACTCCAAAAATTAATCAAGAAAACTGTGCTCATTCAATTAGATTAGTAATATGCATGGATTCAGTCTGGTAATAACACTCGCCTGATTTACTACCTTGTGCCCTTCAGCTCTTCTATCTCAAAGTGACAATTATTAAATATTGTGTTAGCTCTTAATTCTTTACTTTCTTGCTACCATACAGCAACTTAATTGATTTCCCACATTTGCCCTTTTCAATGCTCTGTTTATATTATCTAGAATTATGTACACACTCAACCAATGATAATCTTTGTCAATTACATGTGGTAAACATAGGCTCTCAAGAAACTTTTGACAGCTTGAACTCTTTCAGATATGTTATAATGTTAATTCACTTAATTGTTACCATAGCGGCATAGCCTACTATCCCCTAGGAATTTTGTAAGTTAAAGAATTTTGAATTGAGGAAACAGTGCATTGATAAAGGTATCAGGCAACTATACTGTGTAACAGTGTAACCACTTGACAATCTTATCCTGAAATCTCTATACTTTTTCACTCTTAGTGATATCTGTATATGATGCACTTTGGCAAAGAAGGGTGGAGGTTGAAGGCAATAAAGAAATGGGCAATTCACTAAGAAAACTACCATATGTATCAGCACTTTGAGATGTTTTATCATGTCCTTGCATGATGGGTACATAGACCCTCGGCTCTAAACTTGTATATATCTCTCCTAAAGTGGACTGTAATGCAATTAGTTAAGACTCACAAGGTATAGTGATAGCTTTGTTTGTCGAAAGGGCTAGTTGCAACTTGTAGAGGCATACATTTTGTTGTCATAGATGGTTGCATGTGTAATTTCTGAATACCCCACTGGTTGGAGTGAGAGTTTCTCACCAATTTACTCTGTCATAGCCTTCTCATCTACATAATGGACTTATTTTAAATGATCTTGAAATGGAAATTCATGCCCATGAATAATGCGATTCATGCCTTTTGTTTTCCATCTCAAACTATTTGCTATCCAATATCCCCTAAGGTTTACAGCTGACTTATCTTAGAGGCCTTTGCTTTGCAGTGTCATGGATAAAATAGGCTTGCCTTTTTATTTGCTTCTCTATAATGTCATCCCTCCTATCTTATCAAGTACTCCATCCAACTCTTCCCTAGAGAATTACAGGATTTGAATGGTTCACACAATATTTTATCAACTCTTGTTCCTGCTGGTGAAGTTTTCTGGCCTTGTTATGTCCCCTTATTACCAGTGACTCAAATAATTTTAAATCGTTCTTCAAAGTAACCTGCTTGAAGCTCTCTGTTCACTTGACCATTTCATGAATTCTGTATAACATACCCTCATCTTCTTTTTCTTTTCTTTTTTACTTTTTGGAGAAATAAGCTAATAGTTGTAACATTTGGCATATATTCTAAGTTGTAAAGTCTCTCTAAAAGCAGCAGTGTTGAACTTAATTATTGCTGAGTAGCAGAAGAACTTTTGGGAGAGGGGCTGTTTCCCCCAGACCCAGGGGAGGGTAGATAGAGGAGGCTGAGGAGCTGTATCCTGTGGGAGTTTCTGTTGATAATTGCGCTTATTTTGGGCTGTTTTTTAGAATATGTAAATTTGAACTGTCAATGTCTGTATTTAGTTCTAGAAGGATTTCTTTCACACCTAGTGGAAGTTCAAATTATTTTACAGTTCCACCACAGATCATCTCTACTATTCCTAGATAGTTTAGCATAATTTCGAAAAATCTAAAACTATGAAGAACGAAGTATTGTTATTGTCTAAACAATTAAAACTTGATGATGCAGGTGGCTATCTCTCTCGGAGCTTGCATATACTTCCTAAATGACAAGACAAAGAGCTTAGGGAGGTCTGCTATTATTGGGTAAGTTGATCAAATTTGCAACTGCTCATGCTAGTGTGAAGCCAATTTATGTACGTTTTCAGCCTCCTTTTTCTTTTGATGACCCACTATTCTTCTTTCTGGCAGATTTGGATCCCTTGTGGCTGGTTGGATTTGTGGTTCTTGTGTGGGTCCGATGGTACCAGCAGCTATATTACCACCAACTTGGTCTCTAGAACTCCTTACTTCTTTGCCAGTGTTTCTTTCTTTGTTCCTTGGTTGTACCTTTCTTAAGTAAAACATATTAGTATGTTCCTCAAATTTTCACGAGAGCTGATGTAAGTCATGTTTCATAAATAGGTGCTATTCATTTGTTTGACAAGTTACAGGTCTATCAATCTAGAATTTGTTGCCCTATTTTGTCTCGTTTCTTTAAACTTTTCATATCAGTGCATTCAAGCTTTGATTTCTTATTATGAGCAAGGTGTAGGGATGATGAGATGGGGTGGCTGGGTTGGTGCAATCGTGCAAAGGATAGTTCCGTCATATTTAAAACCCCTTCTAAATGATTAATATTCAATTACTCATCTCCTGTAAAACTGCGAAAAGTACAATTGTGAGTTATCAGTAGGTGGCATTAAACTGGACATCCAATTATCCAAACATATAGCTCTTTTAAGTTTCCTGAATTCTCATTATCGAAAATATTATGCGAACCCAATTATTAGGTGTGCAGATATTAACTAATTGAAGTATGCCATTTTTTCAGAAATGATTTCATACTTGCAAAACTAAAATGTATGCATGATACATCTGACATAAGAATACAGGCTAATTGGGGATGAAGGTAGTTCAAACGCTTAAAAGCACCACATAAGTTAACAGGCTAATTGTAGTACCGGGATGTTACTTAAAACAAGTACAATGTAACAGACCAAAAGAGAGATTCCAACGCTAATGACTCCAACATCAACATCAATAAGATCTTGATAGCCCTTAAGCGTCACCATTGTCATTCTCTTTGTGTTTGCTCTCATCATCGTATTCATCAGGAATTTTCAAGAAAGAGTCATACATAGACCTAATTTATGTACTGACCCTTCAAACTTTTGCACCTCATTTGATTAGTTAAATCTAATCATGAAAAAACAATAAGCATTACTTTACATATAAAATGTTTATGTAAAACTAACATCAAATGGGTTAAAAAGTGTAGAGCACAACCTTGTAACGCAATCAGCTTTTGGCTAAAAAGAGCTATATAATAATTCATCCAGTCACCAATTATCAACAAAATTAGACTTAGCTTACAATTGCAGCGATGTAAAGAGCCAAAGAACGAAGCTAAATTTTAATCAGTTAAAAACTGCTACAAACAGTGTTAAGCCTTCTAGATACTGTATAGCAAAATTTCCTATATTCTATCAAAGATGGGCAGGTTTTTCTATAATCTTAACCTATGCACAATTGCACATTAATCTTAGTTTCTCAAAGATCACATCTAGGCAAAAACCATGATCGTATATTTGTATAGTTCCAATCAGCCTCAATTTGACTTGTAAAGAGTGCTGGTGTAGTGGTGTTGTCCAATCAGCCTCAATTTGACTTGTAAAGAGTGCTGGTGTAGTGGTGTTGAAGACCAACTTCAGTATGTTGCCGGTCACAAATTCACAGAAGCCAAAATGGTCAGATTACAATCATTACATTACAGTAGCTGATCAATCTTAAAGCCAGGACTTCCAAGCCTTGTTCATCTTACTTGAAAGATACCTAGTAGCTCTGACAGCACCTACTGTCAAAACACCAGCAATAGCCTGCCGGATGCTGGAAACCATGACTTTGCGTCTTAAAATCTTTTCCAGGCAATTTGCTGCCTCGGCTCTAGATTTTATTACAGCTTCATAAGCATCTTGACCTGTGGACATAGCAAAAATAAGAGTCGGCAGTTAAGGACAGACGCAGAAGAGTAAAAGACAAAAAATACCCAAAAAAAACGAAAAGAAGCTTCTTCCCCTGGTTCAGGCGAAGGTGAAGTTTTGCCCGGCCCGAGCAAAACCAAAAATTACAGGCCAGAATTCTACAGGAGAAGAACAGGGGTTGGTGTTGGATTAAGGGTGATTTAGTAATTTACTTTTCTGCACTTGTTTTCTACTACAATAATTAGTAATGAAAATTTATACGGAGTACCAAGCAGCATAAAAGCATTCTAATTGGATAAATATATTGCATTGACATCAAATAAGCCTTGGCTAAACATAATATACCAAGAGAGAAAATATGTGAAAGGTGAAAAAAAAAGTCTCTGTTGCAAATATATGTTAATTGCAGGAACCAACAAACAATTAATCATTGGCTTCTTACCAGACTTCAACTTTTGCTGGTCCCCGAGATTCATGCTCATATGGTTTCTCACTGCTTTAGGAAGACGAGAGAAAAGGGACTGAACTGCAGGTAAATCACAATCCTGAGATTCAGAACAACCAATTAGAAACAGAACTATTTAGTATACTTGGCCATCATAAAGAAAGCAGTGTCCATATGCTCTCTCCCCTTAAAGTCATTGCTAGTATGAGATATCAACCATCAAACAATAACAACAGCAGAGTGCAGTGATTTTTGTTTTTTTTTTTTTTAAAAAAAAAAAAAAAAACATTTAGAATTCCTCTATTAATCTTCAAGCACCTCTTCTCCCCCTCCCCAAAGAAGAAAGAAAAAGATCTGATACCACCACAGTAGTGCTTAAACACTATCCTAGACCAGAAAAGTATTTATTTTCCTATATATTTGAAAAAGATTAGCAAACGAAAATGCATCAGAAGGTAAAGCAAGCAAATCAGAATGCTCTCTCCCCTTCGAAACATACACCAGGTGGTTGGCCAAATGGCTGATGGACAGTCAATGTCATGCAGAAAAATCGCAGCCTTATTTAAAAGAAGCGACCATAATTTCAACAATGTCAACCCAAATTAGAAGCTCCGAGAGAAAACAAAGGAAGGGCCATCTCATGGACTAAGACGCTTGATGACAATGGTGAGGCTTGATATTACTTGCGCACAATCAATCACTGATACAGGATTAATACTTTCGAAAGCAAATGTTATCTTTTCACTGATACAGGATTAATACTACTAGCTGATAACAGTTGTTATCAATAACTGTTCTCTGCTTATCTACTATCCGTCACTTACGCTAATCATCTGTGATTTGATCATGACAACATTTGGCTACTTTCTCAAGCAATAAGAAATCACTGATAAGTAGAATAAGAATGCTACTGACCACTGGCATGAAGCCCAAAATCTTTAACAGAGTAGCATCAGTTATCATTAGCCTCCAAAGGATACTGCAAGTTTATCTCTTTCAGAAATTATGACTGCATAAAAGCAACCCATTTCACATTTTAGAAGAGTAACTGACACCTAGACTTGAAGGCTTGTTCTTAAGCAGGTTTCTAAAACAAAACAAAATAAAATTTGGTACAAATTTGAACATATGCCCTATAAATATTTTCTAAGGAATTGCCATTTCTTGATATGAAGGCTTGTTCTTTGTTCTTAAGCAGGTTATTAAACTAAAACAAAATTTGGAACAAATTTGAACAAATTCCCTATTAATATTTTTTCCCAAAATATATCAACACTGCTACCAAGATCATTACATGTAAAACCTTGGAGACTAACCTGGGTAGAACTGTCAACAGTCAGGTCTGTTTTGAGTAGGGTAAGTTCAGGTTTCAACGAGGTTATTTTTCAACGGCTTATATTCAGATTTTAGGGTCATAATTTTATGTTCAATACCCAAATCAGATTTTTCAAACGGCTTATAAGTAGGATGAAATTTTATGTTCAAGACCCTACATTCAAACGGCTTATAATCAGGTTTTAGGGTCAAGTCAATTTTTGTTAGGTCTAAACCTGGGACTGTAAAAGGAAAACCTTCGTACTCAAGCAACAGCACTTTCACCTAGTGGCTAATGTAGTATCCTATTTTAACATGCATAATGAGATTCCATGCAGTGACCACATTAATTTGTCTGTAACCTCCCTCCATCCTGCAATGTTTCCATTCAGCATTCTGTTACCATAGACGTGACCAAAAGAATATTCTATATGTTGACCAGAAATTTATACATGTTCATTAAGGCAGCAGCGCACTAATATTGTAATAACAATATTCACATGTTTTCCAAATTACAGATATAAAAGGAAGATTGTTTTAGTTGAAAATTTTGGCAGGTTTACTGTACCTGAATGATATTATTCTGGTGAGCACCAGATGATGAAAACCTTAACAAGTCTTTGGTAGCAAATTCTTCCAAAACTGGCTTATAAATTCCCCTGAATAAATCAAACTGTCCTTGCACAATCTTTCTCACCTGAGCAAATGGAGAGTTGAAACACTATGTGGATGAGTAAATAAGAATATTGTTCTGTAGTAATAAAAGAGGAACTAGTTATAAGTTTATAACATGGTACTAGGAGGCACACACTATCAAGAAGTTAAGGCTAATGATAAGGTAAGTATTAACAAAGATACTTTGAGGTAGATATTTATGATTTTAAAAGCAAAGAGTACAACAGAAAATCCATGCTGTTTGCCCAGGAGCTTTTGCTGACTAATTACACAGAAACCAGGTACCCTACAGATAAACTGTTTTCAGCAAACAACTGTTGAAATTAATCACATTGGAACTATACCAACAATGTCGTTTAACGGTATAGCAAATTCCACTAATATGTAAGAAAAATAGATATTTTCCAAATTTCAGACGTTCACAAGAAAATTTTCACTTTAACGAATCTTCAAGAAAGCTCAAATAATTTAGTCTTCCAATAGATATGTAAAGAGTTTATAAATTTATATTTTCAATACAGAATATAAGGAATATATAAAGAACCAGAAATGCTACCAAAGTAACAAACAAGATTAAACATGAAGAAGTAATTTACTCTATGAAAATGGAGTAACAAAGATAGACCATTAATACAAGATCAGAAAGAGTTATTTTTAGATAATATCCACCTTTGCTACAAGCTTTAACACACACATCAAGAACAAATATACTGGATATTTGTATCACCCAATTAACGGAAACCTTGGAATAAAATTGATGCATAGAGTTATGTTCATGAAAAGAGCAAAGCATTGGGCATACCTTATGCATGTCCTCTGCAAAAAGCATGCGCAAATCACCGTTGTAAGAAAGACTGCAGATTTTTGTATAAAGGTCTTCCTGCGTCAATTCAAAATAAGAATATATTCATACACAAGTACTGGGATGCAGAACCAGATTCCACAATATCATACCTGAGTGAACTTGGAAGGTAAAAGAAGTAAAGCAGCTGAGGTTGCAGCTCTTAAATTAAAAGAGTTTAGATTCTCAACATCCAAGTTATCTACAAGAACATGGACCTGTAAACGATGAACACTTTTCCATTTCAATTTTATTATGAGGAAAGTACACACAACATATTAAAAATGTACATTTTAATTATAAACATACAGGCTTTTGTAGACGACCACTCAAGTAAAATGTTTCCCAGTTCAGTATGTCTTCAACCAAGTCATGCATTCTGACTACACCATACTTAAATGTCTGCGATTGTTAAAAGAAGACGCGTGTATGAGTAACTAAGACACCTGTGCTATATGGAAACGCCATATCTCATTTTCACTTGTTACAAAGCTAACACTCCTAAATTAACTAAGCCATGTTACAACAACTGACCAATAGTCCACTACCTTGTTATTCCAAGAAACAAAAGGGTTGAAGTGCACCCCTACACCAACTTTGTCTGCAACTCCAGTAATCTGATGAAGCAATATTTAGCAATTTTAGTCCACCATAGGAGGTGAAATTTTGTGACCAATGGATAAAGTTAAAGGAAGCACCAGTTTCGCACCACCAAGGTTCGCCATCCATGAGGCAAAATGATTCCTATTCATCTTCAAGTTCTTCATCCCAAAAGATGGTAATGATTTCAGAATTTGGCACTCAAGCACAATTATTTAACAGATAATCTACCGAGAAAAGCATGCGTTAAACCTACCTGCAAGTGCCATTCAACAGGATCTCGGACACCAAGAATGTAATCAATCATCCGAGACTATTAAATTAGGCATTAAGACAAGAGGATAAATAAAAGTTAGTCATCCTACAATAGCAATGAAACATAACTTTACTTGCAGATATCATTATAATTCAGATAGCATCTAAGCGAACCTGATCATGATTATTTGGATGAAGAGTTGAGCCATAAACACAACAAAACTCCACCGGAGGGAGTACAGTGAGTAAACCACTGAGCTCTTCCCTTTTCTTCTCATCCATTGGTTACCTGAAAACACATCACTCGTGATATAACAAGTTGCTAACATCAACATAAACACAGAAACACGTAATGTCATACTTCACAATCACCAAGAAGGTCATGAATACTGAAAAGCAAAGAAATTTCTAAATTGCAAAGTCTAAGCTAAGAGCAACAGCTCACAAGCTTCGAAGGAAGACGACGAAGGATGCATAGAAAGCCTCCTCATAGATACAACATAACAATTTTAGTGTAAGTTAAGCCATAATGTATCAAGGATGATTAGCATAATATAAAGCTTAAGTGATAACGATCAACACGTGATTTTGTCTTCAACTTCGAAAAGTACTAGATAAAATTGAGGCTTCTTACGCCTTTGCATTCAAACCATTTTATAAATAATCACTGAATTCCATATTACAAATACTTTCATCTTGTTACCCAATTGTCCAGCAAACTGTTTCAATCACAATTTTTTTTATAATATTGAATCAATCATGATTGCAAAATGTTCATTCCCACTTCGAATTCGGGTTGCATAAATTAAAATGACTAGGTAAATTAAACCCAATAAACCATATATTCTAATTTTCATAGTTGACAAACATTAAATTCAATTCTCAAATATGATTTCAATCATTTCATGCAAAACCCCTAAAGAATAACCATAGATAACAATACCTAAATTAGTAACTAAAGACAGCAGCAATTGTAATGAGAGAAGTATGAAAATGGCTTTAATTAGAAATTGAACTGAAACAAATTCAATAGAAAATAGAAAATGAAAATACAATTTACATTCAGATATTACAAGTATATAAGTATATAACAATGAATATATCGAAATGAGCTAACCTCAAACTCAAATTTGAGGGTGTAATTAGCAATGTGTTTGAATTTGGTTGTTAATTTGAGTTGTATGACTTCTGATTGCTTAGGGAGGTGCGCAGGCGGCAGACGGCGATGGTGACGGCGGCGGTAATGGAGATTCGGAGGTGTTGGACACTTGAGTCTTCAACCGTTTGACACGAAAAAAACACTTAAAAAAAATACGGAGTAAATAGTTCGTGATAAAGTGTTCTATTTTAATTATTACGTAAATTACAAAAGGTTAAATTTGGTAATTGTATTACAATAGATAATTCTAACAAGTATTAATATGACCATGTTCGATAGTTCTTTGCATAAGGCTTAAATATTAGTCAAAGTAATGTTAGTGGAAAAATCAAATTGGATTATTAAATACTCCCTCCGTCCCGAATGATAGTCACTTTTGGGTGAAAATCACGGGAATTAAGGAGAAATAAATAAAGTACATGAGAACTAAAATAGGAGAAATATATAAAGTACATGGGAACTAAAATCCAATCATGTGCAAAACAAAAAGAAGAAAGAGAAACTGATTGTCATTAAAAAGGGAGACAACTCATTCAATTAAGGCACAAGTACAAAGACAAATATGAGGGTATTTTGGGAAGCACATATAATACAACAAAAAAAATGAGGGTATATAGGTCATTTTGTGTTATTGTATGGGACCTAAAATTGTGAAATGTGACTAACATTTTGGGTGTCTAAGAATGGAAATAGTAACTATCATTCGGGGACGGAGGGAGTATAAATTAGGGAAAGTAATAATTTGATGTGAATCGAGTCCCCTTTCTTATAACTATCTTTATTGTTTTATTTAGGTATTATCTTGGTTTACCTTACTTTTAAAGTGGGGTTTTATAAATAAGTTTTTAATAATGTTTTTATTATTTTCTTAGTAGTAGTTATGGGGTCTTGGGCTTCCAAAGTTGTGTTAATTAGTCAGTGGGCTATCTTGATTCATTAATTAATTATTAGGAATTTTATCTAGCTAGTTTGCTTGCGGAGCAAGTAGGATAGATTTATTTTTCCTATATATACTACTCCCCCGTCCCTTTTGATAGTCCCTTATGGGCAAATTTTAGTCCCAAAATGTTCACCCCATTTGTTTTTTCCAACAACCATTAATATTAATTTTTTACCAAAATTTCATCCAATTTGTAACAATACTTGTGCAAATTTAAATTTTCCATGTAAATTTTGTTTTCCCTACTTTTATTACTTTCTCTCTTTACTTTTTTGCATACACAATGTCAATATATTTTTCAATGTAAATTAACTATTCTTATTTGTGATTATTAATTCCCGTGAAAAATGTCCATAAGGGAATATCAAAAGGGAACGGAGGGAGTAGTTGTATGTCAATTATTTTGGTAGGATATTTTTTAATAAAAAGTTGAGTTTATTGAGCTTTTGCTTGAAGAGAACTTTGTTAAGGTTCATACTAGTTGTTAACTAGGGTTTTGGGATCGTTGCTCCTAAGATCAAACTTAGAAGTCGTTGCCTCTAAGACTATCCTTTGAATTTCCACAATTAAAATCACTCAAATCCTTCCATCAAATTAAAACCGTCAAAAATACGCATCATAATTTTTCATGTATAAATTAATGGTTACTTAGTTTGTATACTGGTAAAATTTATGAAGTATCCTGTATTATTTATTTGCACAAATAAGCAAATTAATATTGCTACTAGTTCCTTACCCGAGCATGCTTGAATGCGTTTGGACAAATTGTTTCCGATATCTCGTATCTCTAACACAAATCAATATCTTGGAAGGTAAAAGAATATTGCTAGTATTAGAAATTTAAAAATAGACTACAATAAATCCAATCACATAATAAACCTTTAAAAGTTAACAACGAAAAGCAGTAATAGCACAAACTATGACCTAAATTAAATAAATCCATCAAATATATCATTTTCCAAATCATAGATAAAACTAACTTAACAACCTAAGACACAAACTGACTAATTAACACAATAATCCAACAATCCAACCTATAAAATATAAGAAAAGAAATTCTATCCTATAAACTTAATCAAGCTAAACTATATATGCTAGAAAACACAACATGAACAAATAACATGAAATTAAACTAAGGGTGCTTGTTGGAAGAAGAACGATTATAACTATTACGGATTGCGCAACAACCAAACATATAAATGACAAAGAGAATGATAAAGATTGTGATATTGAAGATCAAGAAATGGCGCCACTCCTCCCTAAGATTGGCTAGTACACCTGCCTTGCAAGACTTGCAATCGTAGCACAACTTGTCCTTGTTGTTGCTCCATGCATTGCAGTCGGAATCCGATGAGGCCGGCCCTGTCTTCGGAACCTCCCAATAGGTTGCGTTCTTAGGGGTAAACCCACATGACGTTGGTGGCTTGCAACAGCTTGACTACACATAACATATTCAAGATGTATCACAATTACAAATATATAGTTGTAACTAAAGAAATGAATTAATGTGACGCACTAAAAAAAAAGGTGACCTTAGATGTGCGTAAAATATCTAGTTACACATTGTAACATCCAAGTTGTGCAAAAACAGTAAATTCAACTAATGAAAATAAATTATTAAATTGTATCATAAACTAACTATAGCGCCCATTTTACTAGAGCAAGAGTTAAAAAAATGCAAAGATTAAATTATCAAATGACCAAAAAAAAATTAATAATTTTTTTTTATCATATACATACTGTACCAAAAAAATTGAGGGTAAAATTATTATCGCAAATTCAGGATGAAAGAAATATACATAATACAAAATTTTCAACTCCTTTTTTTTTTCCTGAGGATATCTTCAACTTTATGTACTTCAAATTTATCGTCAAAAATCTTATTATAATCTTTTACAAAGTATTATATTGTTGGTTATCATGTATGTTTAGTGATAACAAGAGAATACCACAAGATTTACAAACAAAAAAAAGATATGCATAAATCTAATAGTAGAAACTATTAATTCCACAAGTATTAAATTTATGAAAAACAAATAAAACCGCAACTTTCATAATATATTCCTTAAAAGAAAAAAATTAAGAAAAAAAAATGATAATATTACTCACAAAACTTAAAAAGTAAAATTACCTGAATTGGAGACAAGTTTTTGTTGAGAAAATCAAGACCATGATTAGTATAAACACGATCCAACGACGCACAAACTTTAGTGTCAACCAAACAACTCCGAATTTGAACCCAATTCTTAGTACTAACAACATTCCTTTGTAACCAATGGTTAAAATCACCCACCCTGTACTCCTCAAACCCAACACCAGACACCGCTCTTCCAGCACCCTTATTCGTGACCATAAACACGAAACCCGTAAAAATAACCCAACCAATCATGATAACAACCAAGGAAAGAACATATATCCAAAGAAGGAAAGGGATTTGACACCATGAACCAATCATTCCTAGTAAAGAAATAGTAAGAAGAATTAGTCCTATTATAAGAATAGGCCATTCTACCATTTGTTGACAATGTGTTGGACTTCCATTGATGAAAAAGTGTAGGTAAATAAATATGGAAATTGCTAATAATGAAAGGATTGTTGTTAGGATGTTTAGGGTTGTGATTACTATGTTGCTTAACTTTGCCATTGTTGTTGTTTAACGTTGCTAATGATGATTATGAAAGTTATGAGAGTGGAATTTTGTACTATAAATATGGATCAAAGGAAAGAATTAAGGGGTTTTTGGTTGTAGAGAATGTGGGGGTCATGGGTTAGACTAAAACTGTTTATGGAAGAGAAAAACTGTTTATGGAAGAAAAAAACGGTTTATTTAAGAAAAAACCGGTTTATTTTTATAAGTTTTTTTTAAAAAAAAAAAATTAATCTTTTTTTTTAGAGGTTATGTTGTTGTAAATGACGAAATTAACCCTATTAGTTTATCAATAATAAGTTAATAACCTATCACAATTTAGAGATTCAAATATTCAATGCATGTTTAAAATGCTATTGGTTGGGTTTCGTCAAAAAAAAAAAATGTTATTTTTTTTTTTGAAAGGGTTTCGTCAAAAAAAAATGTTTTTTTTTTTTTTAAAAGGGTTTCGTCAAAAAAAAATGTTATTTTTTTTTTTGAAAATCAAAAATCAAAAAACAAAATGTTATTGGTTGGGAATAATCATTTTATTATCATAATAAAATAAATATTAAATAATTGATTTCAATCGACATGCATTCTAAATCTAATACTCTAGGAGCGTGGCCTTTCCGTTTTCCACGCCTTGTCCCTCTGTAGGTAGTAGGTTATGTTTATTTCGTTGGTTTGATTTTCTTTATGTTTGTTTTTTCTCTTTGCTTGGAATTTTTCCTCTCTTGAATAAAAAAAAAAATTATTTTAGACAATATATTAAATAATTAGTTGCTTCGTGTTCGATCCCCACAACAATAATCGGGAGGGGACTGAAATCTAACCACCCAAATCCTCGAATCCGGATTAGCCTAAAAGGTGAACTGAATGGAACACCAAAATATATATATATATATATATATATATATATATATATATATATATATATATATATATATATATATATATATATATATTAGTTACTTTATTAATAACGCCCTGAGCACTTGCCAGCAAAACCCTACTAAATATATTGACTTATCGTTATTTGACAAAAAAACCTAATACATATATGACCCTTCGGATTTCATCGTACCCTTCAAATTCTAAATCAATGGCTGATTTACCAACGGATTCGTGGACGGAGATCTTAGCGAGGCTACCGGCGAAAAGCCTAATGAGATTGAGATGTGTTTGTAAAAGCTGGTGTTCTTTAATTGATTCCTCTGATTTCATTGTTACACATCTTCACATTTACAACAAAAAACGCAAGTATTTGATAGAAGTGGAACGCTATAAATCGAACATTCGTAGCATCGACACATTCACAAAAATCGATGTACTTTTCGAAGCTCTTGGTGAACACGCTATATTAGGGAGCTCTTATGGATTATATTTGTTGAAAAATGTATTTCATGATATTTTCGTATCATTGTATAATCCTTGTATTCGAAAGTCGTTCGTGATTCCCCCTAGTCCTTTTTCTCATGAACAAACCATACTTTATCGGCTAGGTTTCGCTCCGTCTAGTAATGATTATAAGTTGCTTACTATAGGGTGTTTTAAGTTTCCCGAGTTTTCGATTGCAGTTTATTCGTTAAATGATAACCTTTGGAGGATCAAAGGTAGGTTCCATGACCACATTCGAGGGCTTTTATTATATAAAGATGAGGGTGAAATTTATTTTAAGGGTGCTATGTACTGGTTAGGATTTGATCAGGGCTCAGCGACTCATCTTATATGGTTTGATTTTGATTCCGAGGAATTCAACTTAGTGGATTTGCCTGATGCTCTTAAACAAACATGTCTCACCAAAATGTGTTTTGTCCTCGGTGAGTCTATAGCAGTTTTCGGTATGTCTTCAGATCGTACCTGCATATGGGTTTTGGTCGAGGATGGTGGGGATAAATCATGGCGGCTATGGTATACCGGAGATGTAAATTTAGAAGCTCTTCAGTTTCTTACAGGTAGTAATTATAGTATTGGTCTTACAGGGATTGTCAATGAAGAAAAGAATACACTTCTGGTACAGCATTCTGTCAATGATTACTTTTATGGAATGTGTTCTTATAATTTTAAAAGTCATCAGATACAGCATTTGGATTTTTATAATTGTAGACCTAAATCTATTGATACTTATGTGGAGACCTTAGTACTGCACAAACAACACCAACGGGGGAGATTTGACAATTGACATCTGAGCCGCGACACTGATGGATATGGAACAAGATTCATCCATTTTAGCTAGGTGGTTTAACCATAATCCCTCATATAGTTAGTTGAAATGCATTCTTCCCTTTTCGCTAGATTATACAGAGTACCTTTTTTTTTTTCCTGAATACTAGACTGTTACTTTTCGTATAATATTTCATTATTAGCTAATATGGAGTAGATGAAAGGGCTGCATATTGAATTGCATGCCGTGTTGCTGTGATATGATGCTATTAATACCAACCTGATGTTAATTTGAACCAAGAAACTCATCTTTTCTCTATCGGTTTATCCTGTGATTTTGATGCCAAGAAATTCAGCTTAGTGAAGCTGCTTGTTGCTGCAAACAGAAATTAGAGTCCTGGTCGAGTCATTAGTAAGTAGTTTTCATCACGTTTTCTTCAAGAAGCTTCATGTGGGATTATAAAAAAAATCTTCTTGTACAATGATAATCCTGCAGACCGAATCTACAATAAAATTCTATAACTAAAGTACTGTGATTAACATCGTGTCAGGTGAGAATTACTACGTAAGGAACTAGCATTCGACCCTGTGGTTTTAAGGCCTATTCCAACTTATAAGACCAGAGGACGTGGCTTATCAAATAACAGTCACATGCATACTATCGTAGGCAATATATACGTGCATTGTGTAATGCAACCTGTGCTCATTAGGTTATACAAATACAATGATCAGCTAAAGATGTTTTTAAGATTCCAAAAACAGACGATCAGAACCAAGAAAGCACATAAGTTGCACGAAATTTGTCGTCATCTAAGTTCTCATTAGGTTATACAAATACAATAACTAAGCTATAATCTCTATTAGAATTCTGGATCTCATCCCTTATCTAGTAATATACACCATAAAGTTTGTGATGTATCTATTTTAACAAGGGTAAACAACTGCTACTACGACTTAATCTTCACATATGTACAGAGATTACAAATTTAAAATATCACTTCACCTGGTAATTTCAGAGTAAGAGGGGGGAAAGGGGGCATGGAGAACAACAAAGAAGAGCCTACGTCATCGAGTTCATCTTGGTCATGAACTCCTGAAGATCATCCAACCCCAACTTGGAAAGACCTGCAATAGAGATGAATTATCCACTTTGGCAATATAAACATAGAACTGAAAAATTTGCAATTCCTCATTTATAAAAGTAAAGTAAATGTACCCTTGCTGTATCTGAGTTCGGGAATATCTCCATTTGCATCATTTGCCCTCTCTTTCCTACTGCGCTCAATCTCTTTCATCTCTTTGCTCTTTAGCTGCTCCATTTTGTGACGGAGTTCAGATGCAACGTTCATCAGATCTGCAGAAAAGTAATTATTCTCTTATATTTCATTCTACTTGGCAAGAGAAAAGAGATATGGAGAAAGAGCAGTGTTCAGTTTCATTGTCTGAGCCTTTTATTGTATAGTATTTATAGACTTTAGACAGACCAGATACAGAGTTTTGGACTTCTAATACAACACAAAATGTTATCTGAGCTAGGTTAATAAAGGCGTCATCAAGGAGGTCCCTCAACAAGAATATACAGGAGGATAGTTACCCACAAAAGCAAAACCTCTCCCTAAAAGAAATTGGAGCGTTACTAAAGAACATGGAAAATTTAACAGTCTCATCATGATGACTCCCAAGTTCATTAATGACCTCACGTAGAATCTGAAAACCGACAGGACTATTATTTCAGGCCAACTAAAACAATCTTAAAAATATCAGTCTCAATATTCAGCAATATAATACAGCAGTTCGGAGTCAGAAGGCTCGCAAAGTCGCAAGTCACCACTAGAAGACCACTCCCATAACAAAAGCACATCAATTATAGTCAATAAGAGTATTAAAGCGTCAATAGGTCACAATAAACACTGGAAAATATGATCAAGACAGACCATGTTTTAGTTCTGAAAGCTTAACAAGCCACAAGCGTCTGGAAAAGTGGACATGTCCTAGTTCTTTGTGGCGTCGTAATATACAAATAAAATGTATTCCATACTGATTTTGATAGGACAAACCATCAAAAGTGCTTTGCTTCAAGCTTAATGACCGTATCTTTCGTAATAAGACTAATGGATTGGTGCCAAGGGATCAAATGGTTTGTTTAAATTCTTTTCCTATATCTAATTTCAGTTGTCCAACATGAATGGCTTTATTTCTTGTACTTTCATTGAAAAATACCTTTTTCTCTGATACAACTAGTGATTAGGTTCAATATGTTTTTATTTCTAGCTAAAAAGATGCTCTATCTTGTTTCACCTGTCAACACCCCCCCCCCCCTCCATTTTTCTCTGTTGATTAAACTATCCTTTTGCTTTGTAGAGCAAATGCCACCCTTGCCCCTTCTCAACTATCAAGACATTAATTTTTTAAGTCCAGCTTAACAAAGTATGAACAATTCGGCAATTTGTAGCCGCCTTACATTTTTTTTGCACAGCACCACCATCTGAACACAGCAGAACAACAACCTCCACATTTCCAGTCAAACAGAGGAAAAGGAGTCCATATTCAATTTAAGATAACCAATACATGCATAATGACCTGAAAGCTAGACGCTTGGTTTATTACCTTGGAACATGTCATGTGCAGAACTTTTCTCATACAACTGTAATGCTTCATTCACAGATGAGATATACTGGTTGCTCATGGTAGATTTTCTTTCTAATTCTCGCAATTCTTGTTTCAACTCAGAGCACTCTTTTCCAGCCTTGGATCACATATTTAAATAAAAGAAACATAAGACTAGGCATCAATACATACAGAGTAGATATACAAATATCAGGCCATGAAAGGCTTTCCTGTATAACAATTTGTAGAACATTTACTTACCTCTGCAAGCTTATTCCTTAAATTATCAAGTTGTGCTTCTACCTGCTCATCATTAGGATCATCTTGGTCCATTAGATCATCACCAGAAGCTTCATCCTGAAGAAGAATATCAGTAAAAATTCCAGAAGAAGACAATCACATCAAAAGCAGTAGAAATTGGACTAAACACTTCCAAGATCTGCCACACCACGGTAGCTAACTTGCTAAAATCAACCACACTATTTGATAGCATCTATAAATAATTGGTCAATATCATTGTTCAACTATGACTCTGAGAAAGTAGTGCGCACAGATACAAAAATTTCAGTAGCACACATCATATTATACAAAAAAAAATAGTTCTTCACTGAATGGTATAGGCATCATCCTACAAAGCTTTATTGCAAATATCGTGAGCAATTGGCTGAAGCAGTGCGAAAACTATAGCTCCAATTGATCGGCATTATTGCATCTAGGCATCAAAATACATGAAGTAATGGCATTATGCGACTATTTTCATTGTAGAGAAGATCACAAAATAATAGCATAGTGCCTATACACCCATTCCAACAAGAAGTCATCAATTGAACTCCACTATCAGACATTCCAGTGTCATTCCTAGTGGACAACAGTAAAAAAAGAATTGTCTCCAATTTTGACCATTTAAAGTTTTAATGCTCCAACTGCAAACTCACTTTGAGCTTAATAGCTAGCCTCTGGTTCATAATCATAGTAGTCAAGTTGATAGCTTCAGTCATTTTATGACTAACACGGACTTACTGCCTATATCCATAGTGTGAAAGATGAAAAGAAATTAGCAACTTCAGACATTGAGGACCTGGATGCACTCAGGTCATGGGTTCTCAATAAAAGCCATCAGATGACATCAGATACCCAATACACAATTTGTACAACATCCACACCACTGGAAAGGGTAACCATCATTCAGTGTAAGAGACAGCTGTCAACAAAGCTAAGACAGTAGTTCACTGAGGTCCCATCCTTAGGAAAATGGATATCCTCTTTTTCTATGGTATAAAATACACCAGCAACTGATAATGAAGTGCAGCTTAAAATGGGTAAGCAACCACCAGAAAGCTTTTACATTCATTTATGACAAAGTTCCCAAGTGTCATCATATTTCTTAAAAACAGAAACATCCTCAAATTCCCTAAGCGAAGCTCAAGCCCAAAAGTAGAGCTAGGAAAATCACCTTATCCCAAAGAAAATCATCTTGTTGAGACCAATAACAATTATGTAAGCATTATGCAAGAACTGTGAATTCTCCTTATTTCAACCAAAAACAATTTAGTTAACATACACTAAATCCTACTGCTAACCATCAAGAAGAAGAAAAAAATAGAACATCAAGACCTTTTATCATTACATATTTCTTAACCTTCGGTATTTTGTTAGGATTATCACAATTCACTAATTTTTTCTACTAAAAGCTTGAGCTTGTATATAGTACTAATGTGCTTAGGGGTGTACAAAAATTGGCCCGGACCTGAAACCGGACCTGAACCGACCTGAACCGGACCGGACCTGACCCGGACCTGTTGATTCAGGTCCGGTCCCGGTTCTTAAAAATCCAAGTTCCCGGTCCCGGTCCGGACCCGGTCCAAACCCGGGGTTTTCAGGTCCGGACCTGAAACCCGGGAAATCGTAATTAAAAAAAAAAAAAAAAAAAAAAAAAAAAAAAAAAAAAATCTGATTCTCTCATAGTCTCAGACTCTCAGCCTCCCTCAATCTCTTTCAAATGTTTAAGTTCTAACCCTAACTCCCTAAGCCCAAACTCTCAGCCTCCCTCAATCTCAACTTCTCAACGCGGCTGTCCGGCTGTCCCAACTCGCTCCGGCCACCGCCCACTGCCGACACCTCCCTCATTCTCTCAGGCGATGCACACCGATAATATCTGGTAAGTATTTGCTTATAATTTTGGTATTTTTAATTCGAAATAATAAATTAAGTGTGAGAATTTATATGTTTATTCTTGTTTCAAATTTTCAATTGCTTTTAATGATTGTTTGATGTTTGCATGTTGAATTTCTTATTTTTAGTTCATCTCTTTCGAATTTCTGTTTTTTTTTTTTGGTTTTTTTGAGTTTAGGGTTCATAAGAATTAAGAAGTTTAGGGTTTAGGGTTCAAGTGCGAAATTTAGTTCGAAATTTTGTGTTTATTATGATTATTAAGATTAATTTAGTGCGAAAATTTGTGTGGTAGGGTGGGTTGGGGTGGGGTTATGGTGGGGTTACGGTGGTACGGTTCTGGTGTGTGGGGGTTAAGGGTTAAGGGGTGGCAGTGGGGTGGGGTGGGGTGGGTTGGGGTGGTGAGCTGGGGTTTTTGGGATGGCTGGATGGAAAATTGTGAATGTTGATGGGGTTGTCGGGAGTGGAGATGGGGTTTTCGTGGTGGCTGGTAGGGTCACCGAGAGTGGAGATGGGTTTTCGGGGTGGCTGGGTGGTGTTATGCTAAGGAATTTTTCAATTCACTCACCATTTTCTCTCTTTCAATAATTGTTAATTTCATATATTTGCATACATACATGTATAGTGTATCTTAATGAAGGTGTATGATTCAATCACTTTCGGTTGAATCATGCTTGCCTTTTTCTAATTGCATAACCAGTTGACTCTTCTTTCAAGAATGTTTTGTGAGTAATTCTCTGGATATTGGCTACTTATACCTCCTTTTAGCTGAATATCATGTACAACTACACTAGAACTGCATTATGAAGTATGTATTCTCAGTTGTACTTTTACTGATGATATGGTCATACAGTTCCCAGGAACTTCAGGTTGCTAGAAGAACTTGAACGTGGTGAAAAAGGGATTGGAGATGGGAGCGTCAGCTATGGAATGGATGAAGGTGATGATATCTACATGCGTTCTTGGACGGGTACTATAATTGGTCCTCACAATGTAAGTTGTGATTTGGTTATCAATGTAACTACTTGATTTTTCTGTATACTAGTGAAAGCAAATGTTCTATAGGTAGTTTTGTGTGTATAATAATTTCCCTTTAGCTCAAGTATTAGGGAGAAAAAATTAGCCTGTTTAATTAATTTCTTGATAGAATGTTGTGCCCATGTCCTCTGCAATTGTTCCACTTACCGAGAAATCAATCCTGAATGTTTCATGTCCAAGGACCTTCAAACTTCTTTCACTGTTACTTTATACTCTCTCCAACCTCCTTGTCTGCACATTTCTACTTGTTTCTACTGCCTGCCCTTGTTCCTGATTCTTCTTTTCATAAATGCCTGGGTAATGGGAGTATATTACTGTTTTGTAAATTATTGGTACGGGAGGTCGTACTCTAGATCCATTTCGGAGTTCTTTAACTCCTAAGGTAATGCATCGTTATCTTTTTATTTTATAAAATCAAGTTTGTTTATATCTTAATATGACTTTGTTTATACATATTTGTGTAATATTTTTGTATTGAAGATGGTTCAAGCGTTACTTTGCACACAAGATTGGCTTAGAGCTAAGGAAGTGCCAATTGTTGATGTGGAAGAAAATTTGAAAGAGTTAGAGGAAATAGAGAAAGGTAGTAATAATTTTATGTATTTGAAATTTTGTTACACCAAATTTATTATTTCATTGTTATCAATCATTAATATATTCTATATTGTATTTTATTTAGAGGTGCAACGTGGTGAATCTAACAATGTAGACGATGAAGTTGTTTTCGTGGACTCATTAGTGTGAATCACGCGATCAAAGGGAAAACAACTCGTTGGAGAATTTATGTATATTCCTAGTACTTGAGAGTTGAGACTTAAGAGAATTTATGTAATTTTATGAGTTTTCGTGGACTTATTTGTATTTTCGGTGGACTCATTTGTATTTTTGGTGTTTGAGAATCGGGACTTTATAGACTTTATGTAGTTTTGTAATTGATAATTTTGGTTTGTATGTAATTATTAAATTATGCAACAGGTCTAAAAATCACAAAACAGGTCCATATGCAGGTCCATATGCAGGTCCAACAGGTTTTGTATTAAAAAAAAAAAAAAAAAGAAAAAGACACAAAACAGATCCATTCAGGTCCAAACCCGGACCGGACCTGATTTTTCAGGTCTGGCCCGGAACCGGACCTGTTAATTCAGGTCCGGTCCCCGGTCCTCATAATTACCCAATTCAGGTCCCCGGTCCAAACAGGTCCGGTCCAGGTCCGGTCCGGTTTTGGACCGGTGTACACCCCTAATGTGCTTGAAGCCTTGAACCCTACATTGTCAAGGGTAGATTGTTGTCCCAAAGGTAACCTTTCCTAGTATGGCACAACCTACTGATTCCTATTGAGGTCAATATAAAACCATTTGTGAAGGTTAGTTCATACCAAAGCTTTGGCTTAAATATGCTAGCTATAACAAGTCCAAAATCTCATCCAATTTCCCTTTTAAGCCAAACGATGAATCTTACTTTAAGTAGTTTTCCCTCCATTCTTAATAATAAGCCACATCTTATGTTGAATTGTGGATTGTCCAAGTTTTAAAAACTTAAAGCTTGTCTAAATCACCCTTATAATGTGTTTGGATTGAAGGAATTGGAGAGAAGAGAAGAGGAAATGAGGGAGGAATTTCTTATTGTTTGGTTAGTTCTTTGTGAGGGTGAGGGAAAAGGAGGGGAGAGGAATGGAAAGATATTGTTTCCTTAAATATTTAAGAAATTAGTATCTCAAAAATTGAAAAGAATTGGAAAATGGTAACAATCCAGTCACATATGTTCTCCGGCTTCTACCTCCCCTCTTTGCTCTTTCCTTTGCTTCTTTGTCCCACTCTCATTACTTTCTCTCACATCCTTCTCCCTACTTCTTTGTCCACCACTCTTTACTTTCTCTCTCCTCCTACCCTCATTTACTTTGCTTCTATATCCTATTATTCGTAATTGGTTGCACCAAATTCGAGTATTGTTATTAGATTCTCCTCCACATCTCTCCTCTTCTCCATTATCCAAACAATGAAATTAAGTTTCTTCCTCCTTCCTCTCCCCTCTCTTTCCCTCCCTTCCCTTTCTTATTTTATATCCATTCGAGTATTGTTATTAGATTCCCCTCCCCATCTCTCCTCTTCTCCATTATCCAAACAATGGAATTAAGTTTCTTCCTCCTTCCTCTCCCCTCTCTTTCCCTCCCTTCCCTTTCTTATTTTATATCCAAACACCCTGCTAATGATATATTGATAGCGTAAACGGAAAGACTTGTGGAAGAAAGAAGAATAATCATGATATCACCCAATTTCTTGGATAGGAACTTTGATCAAATATGGCCGGACATTGAATAATTCACACTTATACAACTCTATCCATACCCTAAACCTAGAAGAATTTATGTTTAGAAAATCCCGATGCATAAGATAGGAAGCATAGGAAGTTGCTTAAGACTACTATGTGAGCAAAGAAAACTAGGTGAGGATCAAAAAGAGAGAAGCTAAGACAAAAAGTAACCACATCCCCAAAATGATCCAGCCATGCCTCATCCTCAAAGATCCTTTAAATTTGAATAAATTATGTTGTTTCCTTGTTCATGACATGAATTAAAAAGTCATCCAAACAGCTAAAGTACATAGCATAAACTAAAGGGTAGCACTGGAGCACTATTAACAAAGTACAATCAAACAACAAAATTTTGCCACAGTGCTCACTCAAAAGTCAAGGGGATTGGACAGAATACACAATGGTTCCCTTTGTTTAACTCTGTTATATACATGAAGTAGGGTAAAACAATAAGTCATTAATAGAAAAGATTCCTAATAAAACAAAGGATATGTTGGTCAGACTATCGGCACATATACCATAACTTCAATTTTTGACAAAACACAGATGGTCCCTGTATGAGAATGACCATTATACAAGTAGTCCCATTATCTACCCAAATTTTAATAAAATTCATTAGTGTTATAAGAATTTGTCCTAGGGCTATCTGAATTCCACCATGTTTCATTCTACACGAGTACGCAAAAATAAAAGCTCCACAACACCCACCCACATCACAAGCAATTTTATTGCTGTATGACAGAAGTATCTCCTTTTAACAGCTTTTGACCTTATCCTACTACTAACTATCAAGCACCATCCGACAAATGTATAGGATGTCCCTGTGTTTTATATGCGCCTTGCCGTCTTATTGAAGAGAGGAGCAAAATCTGGAAACTAATGTACGATTCGGTGTGCCTCATCAAAAAAGCCTCGCTTGAACAAAAAAAGGCACATAACCCAGGTTGCCTTTCACCTCAGACAAGCCTTTTTATACACTATCTCCAACTATAGTGACTTTAATAATATTGAGTAAGAGGTGTATAAGCACAATTGTGTCCCGCTTGCAATCAAAATAAAGTTCTCTATGGTCTTCACTACTACCTAAACAATTAAAGAGAGCCTACATTTCTCAACCTTGGCGCATTTAGAGAAAAAGTATTGACTCAACTTCCTAATATGATTGAAACTTCCTAAACAATAAGAAGCAACCAATTCAAAATGGCTCTTAAAACCAAAGTTATTCACATGAGTAAGCCCTTGTTATTCCTAAATCTTCACCTCAACTTCAGTCCAATTTGTCCACTTTCAGAATGCCAAGGAATAAAGTAAATGCATTCAGATCTGCACCACTCTATATTTACAAAAATTGTGCAATGGGGCATATAGGATGTGAAAAAAGGCTAACCTAATAGAGCAAAAACACAGAAACCATAGTGTTTGGGATAATGGTTTTTGCCTCACAGAATGCTAACAGGAGGATGAGGCAATTGCTTCTAGGGTGATTGTTATGGACTGGGTTCCAAGGCAGTCAGGTCAAACACCTTTGTTGGTGTACTCTAGGCGTAGAAAAGGGAGGCACATGGGTCAACAACATCTTGAGAAAGGTCAACAGCAAGATTAGCAACCAAGGAGCATTTCTATGCAAGAAGACAAAGTCAATTAAGAAGGAAGTAAGGAAAGAAAGCAACCAGCTTCAAGCCTTCAACAATGTTTGCTCATGGTTTTTCTATTTTAGCTAATTAGTCGCATGTACTCCCTTAAGGTCAGCCTTGACCATTAGCTATCTTAGTATAAGTAATGTAGTATGTAAAACTTGAAGGGTATCCAAAAAATTGAGTGAAAACACATTTGTGAGATTTGCAGCCTCAAGCTACTTGGTAAGAGTAATAGCCTAAAGCTATTGTCCTTGTAATCCCTCTCTAACATTATTAATCAATTATCAAGCTTCCTTCTATAAATTAGTATAATTAGTGTCATCACTACCGGTTGCCGGAGTTAATCTATAACAGCGATGCTTTGATGTTTTGACCTTTCGAGACTACAGAATACAGATCTCACACTACTACATTAGCACCACGTGCCAAGATGCACCTAAAGAATTTCAGTCAAAACACAAAAGTTCATCCAGGTTGGTCTGGATGTGTGTCTATACTCCAAAAATCTTGTAATATAATACATATGCTTATATTCAAATGCTAAGGCAATCTAAGAAAAACACCATCATCACATTATGTGCATACTTCAGACTAGATATTAATAAGAGCCTTCAATGAATTTACATTGGTACAATATTAGAAACACAGTCTCTTATGCTCTTATCCTAGACAGTCATGCAAATGATTTATTTACTGAGAGGAAGATACAATACAAGAAATAAGAAAAGGTGACATTATTAGTGGTACAGACTACAAAGGGTGTAAGTGGTACCGTTATAATCAAAACTTGCTCAGTTTGCAATTTCATTAACACTTTCTTGTTTGTTCTGTTTAAATTTTTTAAATACGATTTTTTTTTTTTGGGGGGGGGGGTGTGGGTAGGTAAGTGCCTAAGTGGTGTCTTTGTATTTTCCTCATCACATGTTGTATCTCTTCTTCACTCCATGTAATATGGGCTTACTTAAAAAGCATTTCATTTCACAATTTAAAGGTTATTGGCAAGTGAAAGGGAGAAGATAACGCAATTTGCATTGGTTCTCCAAAAAACGATAATGGTTTGATACTTATTCATGTCACACAAGAAAGATAGTAATTGGCAATATCAACAACTAAATCACAACAAATACATACTTTTAGCATCAAGCATGAAAAGAGGGAGGAATCCATAAAACTGTATAAAAAACTAAAAACATCAATAAAAAGAATTCTGAGTAAGAAACCTACCCCAGAAGGTAATGAAAACCCAGAAGGAACAGTAAAACAATGGCGAAGGCAGTATTGCTCCCACATAACTAGCCTCTTGTCCAAAGATGCTTGAATTGTATTTTGAATATAATCAATACCCTATGATTTCAAAGAAATAAAAATAAACAAAATTGCAACCCATGATAACAGAATGTATGAAAAATACACATGAAATACACGAGAAGCAAAGAGTCAGCAAAGAATCCCTTCAAGACAACCTTCGTTTCCATCTATCATGGTCTCAGCAAGTCAGCAATTACTATGAGATGCAAAATTGAGCAAATACAACATTAAGAATGGATGATAACTCATCTAATTTCCTAAGCTACCCTATAAATTACTTTGTAGTCCACAAAGTTACCCAAGAAAAGTTTAATTTCAGCATACTAGTGAAAATCCCGGAATTGTTTTCAGAATTATTTTCCAAACGATAAGAATTCATAACATCATCTCTCAGTACCCAATACGTCCCACCGTATTCAGAGCCACAAAACAAGGAGGTAATCAGGTCATATAATCAAACCCGATTCAGCCATTGTCCATATCCAACCCAATTCACATCTAATTGCTCAATCTTCACACAATCAATCCATCCACATCATTGAAACTCGAATAATTTACCCCAAGTACCATAACCCAAAACCTAAATTCTCCCATCACAAAAATAAAACTAAAAATCCCCATATACAATTACAAATTACTTGCAAACCAACTCCCAAACAAACTATATGTTCCAGAATACTGAATTACAGTAAAAATTGCCATAAATTTATGCATAAATGTATAAAAAAAATTCAGAAAAAACGACAAAATTAGTGGGGAAACAGTTCAAATTGAGAGTACCTTTTGAAGATCTTCAGATCTGTCAGTGCCATCAGTCTTCAATAATTTCGATGCTTCCCTGAAAAAGAAAAAAAACGAATTATAAAGTGAAAATTTTAAAAAAAAAATGCGTCGAAATTAGGGTTAGAAGGAGAGAGAAAGAGGTACAAATGAAAGTGATGAAAAGCGCCATCAACTAATTCATCGACGATATTTAGGGATTCGTTGATGAAAAGCTGAGGTTTAAGGTTGAATGACTCGAAAATCGCCTCGCTTTCGCTACCTTCCATTGATACTACCTGTATTGAAATTTGAATGAAGTTGTAAACTTGTTATGGTTATGGAGTTTGAACTTCGCATATTCATGTTTTTCCCGCCAATGTCATTACAATAACAAATTACATGGTAGATTAAACTTTATATTTCTTACGTTCCAAATTAAATGTTGTTGTAATAGAACTAGATAGTAGATTAAAGGGAGACTACCTCACTTACAAAAAGACTTGCGTGGACCTGGTCCACAATAATATTATTGTGGATCCGAGGTCTATATATACGCAACTGACATAATATTGAACATAGTAACCATTATTTTTAACATAGTAACCTTATTTTTAATACAACCTTTAATAAAACTACTACAACGTTTAATAATATTGTGAACTTGAAATACGACGCTATTATCCTAATTTTAATGCCTTTATGATTCATATTGATCGGTATATAAAATATTTCATTACAAAAATAACCACTTAGGCCTATATATTACCAAAATGATTTTTATTTCAACATAGTGACCTCTTTTTTAATTATAGTGACCCTTTTTTTTATTAATAAAACAACTATACTTTCTCTAATTTTAGTAGTCCACAATAAATTAGTGTGAACTAGGTCCATTTAAGAATTTATACCTCACTTAAATCATGTTGATTGACAAATTATTATAATTCAACTCCTATTGTGGACTAGCTTTGCAATATAGTAAATTTAAAACAAAAAAAAAAAAAAAAAAAAACTTAGATCTAGCCTCACGATTCAGAAATGACGAACCACCACCATCTCTGTCTACCCTTGTCATCTCGCCGGTCAACCACGAACCACCACAACCATCCTCTTCACACGCCCTCTTCTTCTTCTTCCCTTCTTCCTCTTCCTTCCTCAACAACCACTCCAACGCCACTTCACGGCAGTAATAAAAAAGACACCCTAGTAGCAAAAGGGTGTAAATTAGGGTCATATCAACCCCTTGGCCTCTTAGGGGTAGCATCTTCATGGAAGCATTTTTACCACCTTAGGTGGTGCCGTGGTGATGGTGTTGCTATGATGGACTAATGGAGGAGGAAGAAAGTACAACCTTGCCCCCAAATAAATAAAGGAAATGTCTTCTATGCCACCTGATTTCCATTTACAGCCAGGTATTTCCTCGATTAAAACTCAATATAAATTAACATTTTATTTATTCAATAATGTATGTACTCCTTTCATGATTAGTGTCACAAGCTAGATTCATCTCTTTAAATTGCGAGCTAGATCAAAGAGAATTGTAGCTCATCATTTTAATCTTTTATTTATCTCAACTCTACATTTTATTAATCTCAACTCTACATCAAATCGTAATAGTTTATACTTCCTCCGTTCTTTTTTACTTGACCCGCTTTGACTTTTACACTATTCACCACCTCTCCTTTGACCGTGTTTTGGGAATGATATGTAAGGAAAAATATATTCATATGATATCTTTTTTAATTCGTATCACTAAATATTATCGTAATATACAACTTTTATAATTTTTACTTATAAAGAATTAAAGTTATTGATTGTTAAAGTTTTGCATTGGCAAGCGTGATAAAAGAAACAGGTCTAGTAAAAAAGAACAGAGTAAGTAGGTCTTTTATCAAAATCATACCAAGTACAAAGTATTTTATAGGATGCAAGGTTTCAAGTTTTTTAATAGTTTCTCCTTAATTCAGGTGAGGAATTAAAATAACAACCATAAAATGAAATCATCTGGTTTCCAAAAAAAAAATGAAATCATCTGCGTCGGAGATCTAGAAATTTATCAACCAGGATGCATTATAAACTCCATCTTGCCAATAACAGTACATGCAATACTCAGCAACATTGCTCTCTTTGTGAGACAAAATTGTATGCAATAGGATAAATGTCTCCGCAACTGAAATCAAACTCTACCAAAGTGGAAATATTACAGTGGTAGAGTAACCATGAAGCATGGTAATTGGTAACACACTGTAGATCGTAAACTCTATCCTATAATACTTGGCTTGCCCGCTCTGGACTTTGCAGTTTACATCCTTGATACGGAATTATACAATTGGATTCTCGAGTCTACAGCTTCTTGTTTTCATGTTGAACACCTGGTTATTCAATAAAGAATTCTTGGGTGGAAATGCCGGAAATCTCCATCTCTATGGTGCCCTAAAAGCTTCACCAGCATAGCGTACATTTCCAAGCTCCTCTTCAATGCGCAGAAGCTGCATACAAATGCAATACAATCAACAAACAATAGTAAAATTTCAAACATTAAGCTAGCATACTCCTCATAACATTTTAAAGGTACAGGGTGTTGTACTAAATCGCTGAGCTAATGTAAAGTTGGGACAAAGGGAAAACATTTTGAAGATTTCAGATTTCAAACTACAGTTTCCTTTGTTCACTAGCTTACCAAAATATAGAGAAAAGAAAATGGGAAAAGGAAAATGGAGACGAGAAAAGGGGAGGTGGAAGGGAAGTGAGGGATAGAAAAGAAACTGTGGCATTCCTTACATTAACAAGGAAAATCTTTTCCACCCTCGTGAAAAATAAATTCAACCAAAGAATTTAATATCACTACTTTTACAAACCCAGCAGCCAAAAGGGGAATTGTATCCTTAAAAATATGGTTTCCTTTAAGCCAAACATAACCCAGAATGAGTGAATGACACATGTGAAGACCTTGGTAACAATTACAAATAATAAGTCATTTCAGAAAACCTGGTGGTTAATTGGTTATTATGTCAACCATACAGAAAAACAGAAGAAGAAAAGCAGGGGTCCCAACAGAATGAGGTAGTACCTGGTTGTATTTGGCTAACCTCTCACTGCGGCAAGGAGCACCTGTCTTGATCTGAAAATCACAATACAAAGAATTAATTTCTAACTTTATGGACAGGGAAAATCGTTACAGTGGTATTAAAAAAAAATGTGCTGCAGGTGAAAGAGCTATTACCTGTCCACTAGCCAAGCCAACAGAAAGATCTGCTATAAAATTGTCCTCAGTCTCCCCACTGCGGTGGCTGACCATGACACCCCATCCAGCAGCTTTTGAGTCCAAGGCAGCTTGAATGGATTCAGTTACAGTACCAATTTGGTTAACCTGAAATTTACATAAAATACGATCATTAGGAGCATTTACTTGTAAAAGGTAGCCAGAAAATGTCCATGTTTTTTTTTATCTTGATATTCTCCAATTATTAAATAGAAAGTTTAAATAAAAAAAAATAAAAAAAAATTAATATCTAATAGTAATGAGTTTGGGAGTATGTACTAAACAAACACACGAATGGGTCAAGGACAATGCTTATCAACAAAATAATCGCATAATTTTTCATCCTTTGCATGTCACGGTTGATGGAAATACTAAAAGATATGATAAAGGCCTTTTGTAGCTAACTGATTTTTCACATAATTACTGATCATTTTTTTATCCCTCCATAATCTACCCTTAACCATACTCAACAAGTTCGCACAAAACCTCTCATCTCCCCACTTTGAATAAGATACTATCCCTTTATCCCCCATCACATCCACCTTTTTATTAAAAAAAAACGTTTCCTCAAACTACAAGTAGGCAAACTAAATTGGGAGTATAACATTCCCATGACTATAATTTGTTACACTTTCCATAAAACTAGCTCACTCAGCTTATTGCCAGGGAAATGAGCATTGTCAAAATACAATGGGTCGATCACAACCACCAGCTACTTTATAGTCAACCATTTACCATTCAAAAGATTCCTTTTACATTCCTTGATGTCCATAATGAAATTTGCATTGATAAAGATGTATCATGGATTAAGGTTTTGATTGATTGACGTGTCATGAACTTTTTCATGACAACCTTTCCCGGCAGACTATAAGGAAAATAGAAGGTTACCTTTAACAGCAGAGCATTGCAAGCCTTTTTCTTAATCCCTTCAGCTATTCTCGTTGGATTAGTCACCAGCAAATCATCTCCAACCAGTTGGATGTCTACTGAAGATTGTAGTGAAGCCCATGAATTCCAGTCATCTTGGTCAAATGGATCTTCAATAGAAACAATAGGAAAATCTCTGACAAATTCTTTGTAGAGGTCACAAAGACCTTGAGCTGTATGCACATGAGATCCATCATTTGGCTGTTTCTTGAAATCCAAATCATATTTCCCATCCTTGGTGTAAAACTCAGAAGCTGCAACGTCCATCCCAATTTTGATCTGCATAATCAAAGTTCACTCATAAGTAAACCTCCCAAAAAGAACTAGTGTATAAAAAAAGAGCTTAAAGACTAGCACTAGAAAATGCCCTCTTACTTTGCCAGTGTAACCAGCCTTTTCAATTGCTTCCATAAGTAAGATCAGTCCCTCACGGTTATCTTGAACATTTGGTGCAAAACCACCTTCATCTCCTACATTACAAGCATCCTGTCCATACTTCGCTTTGATAATCCCCTTCAGTATATGATACACTGCAATAGAAATGTTTTTTAAGTTTAAAGTATTATAATTCAAACTGTTGCCAACCAGTGTCTTAAAGGTAATTATTATTTTCACAATAGAAACCTCAGAAGCAAAACAGGCATCAGGCTGACATGAATAAGCCAAGTGAAATCAGCCGGACACAATAGAACTATAGAAGGATGATGATGACATCAAGCAGCCAATAGAGGCATAAAACATAGTGCCTAAACAATCAAGTAGTTACATTATCAATTATCAGGCACCGAACCCAATGTTTGATTGTGGGAGTTACTCTGTAAAATGATTATCCACTAAAATGGTACTTAAATTTAAAATTTAAATTTCAATGTTGAACAAGGGCAAAATTGCTGACCTTCACTTCCCATACGAAGTGCTTCTGTAAATGATGATGCACCAAGTGGTAATATCATAAATTCTTGCATGGCCAAGTTATTGCCTGCATGGCTTCCTCCATTTATCACATTGAATGCCGGAACAGGCATAACAAGCTCCTTGGTTCCTGATATTTCCTGTATATGCTTGTACAAGGGCATATTCTTTGCCCCAGCACCAGCTCTACAAACACTCAGAGATACACCCAGTATGGCATTAGCTCCTAATTTTGACTTATTTTGAGTTCCATCAATCTCCAACATGAGGGCGTCAACATTAGCTTGATCCCTAGCAGAGTAAAGGGCAATAATGAATTATAATTTCTATCAATACAAAAATAAAGCACATTGTTGAACCTCACCCAAAAAAATGAGATAGAAACATCTTTCGTAGAGTCAATTACACTTCTCAAATCCTCATCATTTTAGCATTATTAGGAGCATTGCAAAAAGACAAGCATAAAGAGCAAAACCATTCACTCAAAATCACACACAAAGAGCCGGAATTACTGCTAGCACTTCCCTCCACTTTCCCTTGTAATTATTTCCCCATAGCATATACTTGAATCCAGTACGACAAATCATATTCATTAACAGATTCTAAGTACCACTACCACCAGTCCACACATTTGATAAACTAATTAGCAATATACTAATGCAATGTCATTAGTAATTTCCTAAATTCTACTTGTATTCAGTAATAACATGGACATTGGCATCAAAACTAACTACACTATAAATCCATTATCATTACATTCATTACCGCCTAACAAACGAGCCATAAAGTACTTAGCAATATACTAGAACTTAATGCACTCTCCTATCCATCTTTTAATTTATTACCATTACCTCCTACCAAATGGGGTGTAAAACTGTAAAAGTACTTACAAGCCACTCCGTATCAATTTCATTATCAAGCTCAAGCGGTCCAGCACGATGCAATTTTTCATAAGAAATGACATTTCAACTCAACATCAACTCAGTTATTACCGTCTACCAAGCGAGCCATGGAAATATTTAGCAATACTGTACTAGTGTACATTTATGCTCTCCTATTCAATTTTCTCCGTTTTGATTTATTACCATCTACCAAACCAGCCGTAAAAGTAATTACAGGTTACCAATTTCACTATCAAGCGGTCCAACACAATGCAATTTATCATAAACATAATCGAATATGATCATAAACAGTGCCATTTCAACAGTCAACATCAACTTAGTCAACCATACCATAAATCATCATCAAATCATACAAATAACAACATACGAAGTATTATTCAACAAAGTATACGATTACTAAAACTTCGATCAAAAAATGAAAAAATAGAGAGAAAATTTCACCTAAACATAATCAAATACGATCATAAACAGTGACGATTCAACAGTCAACATCAACTCAGTCAACCACGCCATAAATCATCATCAAATCATACAAATACCAACATACAAAGTATTATTCAACAGATTATACGATTATTAAAACTTCGATCAAAAAAATGGAAATATAGAGAGAGAAATTTTCACCTAACATCAACACCAACAAGTTTCGACGCCAAAATCTGATTAATATTATTGACAGCATGAAGAACACCTTTACCACCATACACAGATTTATCACCATCACGAAGCTCAAGAGCTTCATAGATCCCAGTAGACGCGCCACTCGGAACAGCGGAGCGGTAGAGGCGGCCATCACCGGTGAAGAGGTCGACTTCGACGGTGGGATTACCGCGACTGTCAATGATCTGACGCGCTTTAACCGAGTCAATGGAGTAAGCTTTGGTGAGCTTCGCCGGCGACGGAGTAGTGGTTGATGCGGCGGAGGCTTTGACGGAGAAGGAGAGTGAAGGGCGTGAGACGGTGGTTGTGGTGGTGGTGGAGGAAGGAAGAGGGGTGGAGAGGAAGGGTTTTGGGAGGAGAGAGATTGACATTTTTAGAGAGAGAAAGAGAATGTGGGTTGTTAGCTTTGGGATGTTCGTCGGAGAGGAGAGAAGGTGGTTGATGAAGAAGATGCTTGGTTTGGTAGGTAAGAGTGTAAAAAGAGTGTAAAAGAGTGGTTAGGTAGTTTTTTTTAGGGGGGATGTTTGTAATATTGGGTTGGTGGGAATGGAAAATTGGGAATCAAAGGGTAGATGCCTTGGATGCATGGATGGTACTCCTAGCGCCTGTTCCGATTTAATAAAAATAACTAAATTGAATTGATTAAGATTGAATTGAATTAAACTGAAATGAATTGTTCATGTGATAAGGAAATTAGGAACTGATCTTAAATCAAGCTAAATATAACCGGCCCTTAGAGGTAGTATAAATTGACTCGGTCTAACTGTTTTAGTAATGGATTTTGGACACGCCACTAAACTAGGACTTAGAATACAAAGTGGTCAAGCTTTTTATAAAAATGAAAATAGTTTGGTTCAATGAGTTTGGGGTTGCTCTACTCTCCTTATTTACACTTATTTCGAGTGTAATAAGTTTAGATAAATTTAGTTTAAGAAAATTAAGTTTTAATAAGGGTTACCAAGTACTAATTACAACTAAAATAAGTTTTAATAAAGTCTGATAAGTTTTGATAAGTTCAAGTAAGCTCATATAAGATAAGATATGTTCAAATAAGTGAAAATCAAGTTAATAGAACATACCCTTAATCTTATTGAATGAGGGAGTCTCCATTGATCTTTTTGATAAACTACTTCCTTTTGTACGCGCACATCGTCTTGTTATCCAAATTAGAATGCCAACAGTGAAGAGCTAAATAAATATATTTGGATTAGTCATTATTAATTGGCAAATTTGTAAATTAAAAAAAAAAAAAAAAAAAGAACCACGTTCATTTTTTTTTTGCGAGAGGAAACCTATTTCCTTAATCATCCTCTAATTTTCTTCTAATTAACCACTAACCCACCCCATTACTTAATAATTACATTTAATTTGTACATAAAAAAGAACCACCACCCCAACCACCATTCCCCTTCTTCCTCCCTTTCAAGCAACCCCCTCACCCACTGGACCTGCCGCCCAGATCCCCCCCACCTCCGGCGACCTGCCTCCACCGTTGGTGGACCATCTCTTTCCCCCTTATCCCAGTTAGCAACCACCACCTCCCTTCGAATTTTTGGATCTTATATACTCAAACATGCTCAAATCAAGTCCAAATTAATTCCAATTTGTTTTTAAATCAGCCTAGCATCACATACATACATAATCAAAGCCAAAACAAGCATCAATTGCAAGAAAGATGCACAAAATAAAAACCCCCAAATCAATTTTATAGGGTTTATCAAAATCAAGGAAATGGTTGTTGGGATTTGATTAGTGGGAAAGGGAGGATCATCTGGCGGTGGAGAAGGTCACTGGAGGTGGGGGGGATTCAGGCAGCGGGTCCGATGGGAGAGGGGTTGATTCCATGGGAGGAGGAGGGAGGAAGGGAGAAGGAAGGAGGAGTGGTGGTTTTTTGTATTTATATTAATTAAATCTAATTATTTAGTAATTTGGTTGGTTAGAGATTAATTAGAAGAATTTAGAGTTTAATTAAATTAATTAGAGGGTAATTAGGGGAATAGGTTTCCTCTCACAAAAAAATTGAATGTGGTGGTTATTCAACCAAAATACTTTTAAAAGTTTTTTTTTTTTTTTTTTTTTTTGCAAAATGGTGCTTTTAAAAGGTTTTTTTTTTTGACAAATTTGCCTTATTATTTTGTTATTTGGTTTAGTTTTTGTAAGTTTTTGCATGAATTCATGCTTGTATGAAATATAAATTATTGGAATAACTGTGCAAAATATAATTATTTCATATTGAAATATAGATACATTGTTAATTATTTAAATCACACACAAATGATAATAAGTATTGACACTTATGTTGATATAAAGTATAGAAAAGTAGTAAAGTTAATAGCATTGCTTGAATTGGAATTTTTTTTAACATAATTAGGAGATATATTAGATTAAAAGGCTAAAGCCTTAACATTTACAAGGTAAATCCCATTGTTTTTACATTGAAAGTCGAAATTACCACAAAAGCTGCTTACAACATAAGCATAGCATACATTCGAAACTAATCTCCCAAGGAGATGAATATGTACATCATATATAAACCCAAAAGTACCAAAAGATATCCACATTCCTACAAAGATCCCCAAAATCCAAAGACATCCTTAGAGAAGATCCCTTGAGCATTAGTTCTGCTGAATTGATGATGAAGCAACTCGTGCTTTCTCCACTTCATATAGATCAGAAACACAATCAGGAACTAGATAGTGAGTCTTGTACCCAACAACCATCTCCCTTCCAAGCACTGCGAGACGGTGAGCCAATTCATTCTTTTCACGAGGTACATGAGTGACAACAGCCACCTCAAAAGATCTTAAAACAGCAGCAACATCACATATGGCAGCTGCAAGCTCATGGTGAGGATTAGGTCCAGTAGCTAAAATCATATCACGAAGAGCTTTTGCATCAGTTTCCACTATGACCTTCTTGATCTTTAAGTCTTCAGCAATGGATAATCCATCATTTAACGCATACAGTTCAGCAAGAAAAGGAGAGACAGAGTCGTACTTGCAAGAAAAACCCACGTACCAAGACCCATCAGACCTTCTAATCACCCCTCCTCCTGAAGAGACAGTTGAATTCATCCATGCTCCATCACTATTGATCTTGAAATATCCTTCCCTTGGAGCTTCCCATCCTGAACTTGATGACACCTTGCCCTTGCCTTTCCTATTATTAGAGTCCTGCAGAATACCATTTGAAAGTTTAAAATCAAAGAAGAATTTGGTAAAGAGAGAAATAGGACCTATAATTTTATTTTCAAAGCATTATGGCATCTTTGGTTGCATAGAAACTCCACTGTCTTTGCTTGAATTGGAATAGATGTTGGATTAGTGACTTATCTTTTATTTAATATTTTTCTTGTGGTATGTAGGCTTTCATTATATTTATTATTTTTGAATGTATAGTTTTGATTAAGCATCATTGACTTAATTGTATGATTTAGTCTCTTATAAGAAGAATATTGTTACAAATATTATGTGTTGCATGAAAATCAATATATATGTTTTGACTTGATTTACCTATCATGATTAGTGTCATTGAATATAGAGAAGGAATATGTAAGTAATTTTTTTTTTTATTCTTGATAAAAGAATCTTGCATAGTGATACTTGTTTAAAAGCATGTAGAATGTTGACTAATATATTGTTTAAGTAACTTTAAATTTTAATTACTAATTAAGTCATAAGTAAATATGTCTGGAATGTTATTATTATGAATTAAGTTTTTGACTAAGATAACCTGACTTAATTATCAATTGCTAGTGATTATTAATTATGTATTTGGTTTGCATGGCATACTTGAGATTAATAAGTAATTACATATGGAGTATAGAAAATTAGTAAAGCTAATATCATTGCTTGGATTGGAAGAGATGTTTGACTTATTTCTTGTTTGTGTTAAATATCTTGTTGTGGATATATAGACCATGATGCTATTTTTGGAGTACGTAAGAGCACAAGAATAAGATTGATCCTAATTTGAAATGTTACGATAGGAAAGCCCAAAAGAAGATGGGCCAACATTATAATTGGTTAGCTTATGAGTTTTATGGATAGGTAATTAAAAGGGATTTGATAACCTCTCAAGTCTCGAATAACCCCGAAATTAGTAACCCCTCAAGTAACCCATGACTGAACCCTTAAGTAACCACTCACTGAGTAACCCCTGACTGAACTCCTTACGTAACCCTGACCGAATTACTCGAGTAACCCCTAACCGAACTCCTTAAATAACCCCTTACCGAGTAACTCGAGTAACCCCTAATCGAGTAGCTCAAGTAACTCATGACCGAGTAAACCTTGAGTAACCCCTACCCAAGTAACTCGAGTAACACTTGACCGAGTAACTCGAGTAACCCCTGATCGATTAATCCATGATTGAACCCCTTGAGTAACCCTTCCCCCTCAAGTAACCCCTAATTGATTAATCGATCCCTCGAGTAACCTCTAACTGAACCCTCAATTAACCATTGACTGAACTCTTTAAAAACCCCTGATTGAGTAACTCGAGTAACCACTGACCGAGTAGCTCAAGTAACACAAGACCAAGTAACCTCTCTTGTAACCCTTAACTGAGTAACTCGAGTAACCCCACAAGTAACCTTTGACCAAGCTAACCCCTCGAGTAACCCCTATCTGAACCCCTCAAGTAACCCCTGATCGAGTAACCCCTCAAGCAACCCTAGACCAAGTGAACCCCTCGAGTAACCATCGTCCCAATAAAATAACTCGGGTAACCCCTAACAAAATAACTCAGGTAATCCATGCCACAGTTCGTTTCATAATAATTGCAACACTACTTTTGTAACACCCCCAAATCTCCCTCTACGAAAATACTAGTATTATCCGTATAATTATACCGTAGAGATAGACTTAGGCGTATTACCGCCGCGTGATTACGCAAGGCTACTCAACTTACTAAAAATAACAATACTTTGCAGCGGAAACTCAAATACTCTTCTTTATTAATAATAACCACAATAGTAACCAATGTTATGAGTACTCAAAATGGATACAAGACCAAATTCCTAATTTAGTGAAAACCAATCCCGGGACTCCAATGCATCACTTCATTCACTTCACCTGAAATAACACTGCTTACCATTACGGTAAACAGGGCAAACCAAAAAAAATAAGAAGTACGGGTTAGCAAAATATGCTAAGTACGGTAAGTGCAAGATAGTTAAACTCAATTTATTTGCAAACATGCTTTTAAACCAATTTCCAATAATTCCAAACTCATGGTTTAAAACCAATTCTCAATATTCCAATAACCAATCAAACCAATGCCAATCAATTAAAACCATTTCCTCATATTAAAACCAATTCCTCATAATAAACCAATAAAACCAGTAAAACCAATTCCTCTCCTAAGTGTGCACACCCCCAAGCTAGTCTTCTTATGTTACAAGGCTATTCTTGAGGAAAAACCCGGTCATACAAAGTCCAATGCCTTATCAATAAACCAAATCCTCATAGTGGGATTACTAACATGCTTATAATGCATAATAATAAATCAATGATTCAATAAATCCTCTTTTAAATCCAATAATTCAACCTTTAATGAAAACAATCCAAACTCCTTTTCAATAAATCCAACTTGCTTTCAAAATCAATCCTTTTTAAACATGAATAATAAATTAATTAATCA